CGAGGCGGTCTGGCTTGAGCTGGGATTCGACATTGATGCTATTGATACGGCTATAGAATTGGTTAGAGGCCGCAAAAGTCTGGAGCGCAGAAATCCCAATCAACATTGTCACATATCAAATTCGAACACAATCGTTAGCATGACCGACGGTCGTTGGCATATTTTCCTTTGTCCTCCCGACCCTTTCCTCATTCTACCCTTCTCGTGCTTCCACAGGAACATGCACATCATCCCGAGGCAAGCCAAGGCTCCCACCCTCCGAGCGAATGTGACTGCGCGTTCTAAGAGAGTTTCCGTCTAGCTCAGGAGAAAGCTTCTCTCATTAAGTGGGCATCCCGAGGGCCGAGGACGGCAAATGGATCATCACTTTCAAAAGTCACTACACATGACCTCGTCCACGCGCAGATATCGTCTCCATCGTATCATTTTCTGGGGACTGAGTGTGGAGGCAGACGTCCACATATGATACGTATCCACAAAGTCCCCAAACCGATAATGGAGTCAACAGTCCTCAAAGACACCCCATGCAATGCTTCTCAGGTATATTCTCTTATTTCCATGCTTGTTTTGCAGGCCTATGGCTTGTTCAAGGCTCAAACTATTGGTTCTCCTGTAGAGCTACACCTCCTACTTTTTTATATCTGCTCAATGTTCCTGCCGAGGCTCAGGCCTTGGTAAAGAATTACTGAGGTTGAATCCGGCGGGGATAAAAGACCGCTGATACGGCTATCTACCGAGTACGGCAACCTGCCGAGTACTACGAGGTACGGATCATTGGCATTGCTTGTTTTGTCAACCCCGAGGATGTACACGGTTAAGACGTTCGTGCTCCATCTCTTTTCCCCCCAAAGAGGGCTTCCGAGTCCGGGGGGGTCTTTTGGAGAGAGTGGTGTTATATTTCTGGTGTGTGCGCGGCACTCTTCTACCGTTGTAAGACAATTTTGGCCCGTCTTTTCCTGGAAGCAAAGATGTCTGTCGAAACGCTTTCCGTGTCTCAACCCGCGGAGTCGATCCTTGGCAAGTCCACCAATCTCACAGTCCAAGAGGTCGAGGACGACTTGGGGTTCGATCCAGATGCCCTCAAGGCAAAATACCTCGCCGAACGGGAAAAACGTATCCGTGCCAACCCCAATGGAGTGGACCAGTATCGTGCAATTGAAGGCTCGCTGTCGCACTACCTCAGTGATCCATGGGCTGGCCAGGACGACAAGCGGGAGCCCTTGGACATCACCACTGAAGTGGTCATCATCGGCGCTGGTTACGGCGGAGAATTGATGGCCCACAGTCTTCAGGAGAATGGCATCCAAGATTTCAAGATTATTGAGAAAGGCGCAGACTTTGGGGGAGTCTGGTAAGCCCCCATATCACTACCACTGCTGCTGCTATTCCTACTACTGCTATATTACGACTGTTTGCAGTTTCTCTGACCTTATGCATCTTCTAGGTATTGGAACCGATATCCCGGAGCACAATGCGACATTGAGTCCTATGTCTACATGCCCATGCTGGAGGAGATCGGATACGTCCCCTCGGAGAAGTATGCGCGTGGGCCCGAACTTCTGTCGCATGCACAGAGACTGGCCAAAGAACTGGGACTGTACGAAAAGGCCATTTTCAAGACCGAAATCCTGAGCATCCACTGGCACGAGGAGACTGCGACCTACTCGATCAAGACGAATCACAACGACAATATCCATGCGCGCTTCGTTGTCGGCGTTGCTGGGTCACTACATCGACCGAAACTCCCAGGCTTTCCAGGTATTGAGACCTTTAAAGGCCACAGCTTCCACTCCAGTCGCTGGGACTACAAGTATACTGGCGGCGATGCTGTCGGAGGGGGACTAGTCAATCTCACGGATAAAAAGGTTGCGATTGTCGGCACCGGGGCCACTGCCGTCCAGATCGTGCCAAACATTGCGCCCTGGTGCAAGCAGCTCTACGTTTTTCAACGGACGCCCTCGTCCATCGATGTCCGGAACAACCGACTTACTGATCCCGACTGGGCGAAGAAGCTCGGACGAGGATGGCAGAAGGAGCGGATGGACAACTTCAACACCATCGTGTGCGGCGGGCACCAAGATGTCGATCTGGTCGACGACGGTTGGACGGATATCATTCGCAATCTATACCCATCTCGAGCAGCAGCGGGGAGTATGGGGAAAGAGGAGATGGCGAAACGCCGCCAGATCCTCGACTTCCAGAAGATGGAGCAGATTCGCAAGCGTGTCAACGCCATAGTTCACGACCCTGCCACGGCGGAGAGCTTGAAACCGTACTACAACCAATTCTGCAAACGACCGTGCTTCCACGACGAATACCTCGCGGCCTTCAACCGGCCCAACGTCCAATTAGTCGACACCAAAGGCCAAGGGATAGAACGGCTGACGGAGAAAGGCGTGGTGGCCAACGGGGAGGAGTTTGAGGTCGACTGCCTAATTTACGCGACAGGCTTTGAGCGCGCCACCAGCTGGAGCCACCGTGCCGGCATGGAGGTGTACGGGCGCGACGGCAAGGTCCTGGGCGAGAAGTTCTCGGACGGGCCCAGCACCTTTCAAGGCTGGGTGAGCCGGGACTTTCCCAATTTCTTCATGGTCACGACGCTCCAGGCGTTCGTGACGGCGAACCTGCTGCACACGACCACGCTCCAGGCCGAGCATCTCGCCTACGTGATCGCCGAGTGCAAGAAGCGCAATATCCGCTCCGTCGAGCCCTCGCAGGAGGCCGAGGACGCGTGGGTCGAGACCATCGTCGAGTCCGGCATCAACTCGAGGGCTTTCCACATGGAGTGCACGCCGGGCTACTACAACAACGAGGGCCAAATCACGCGCAAGCTGGCCAAGAACTCGTGGTACGGCGGCAGCGCGCTGTGGGTCATCAACATGATGAAGGAGTGGCGCGAGGCTGGCAAGCTCGAGGGTCTCGAACCCACCTTTTGGCCCGAATCTAATGGTGCCTAGACTTGTTCGGTGCTTGGACCTTTTTTTTTTGGTGCCTTCTTTGTTCTTGATGTCTTGTGTTGATAATCTTCTGAGATTGAATAGATGCCTTTGATCAATGACGAAATGATGTGCCGATTTGAAGTCATGAACGTGGTGTATCCCGGTTGAGCCTTTGGAAATGAAAACAGATCTGTTTATTTCATCACACTCGCTATTTGTATGCTTCATCATCAAACCACCGATTCGGTCGAACCAGAATGGGCGGAACTGCTGTGGTACAGATACAGAACAATCAGTAGAACCTGACATTCAACTTCTCCATGGCCTCTCCCAACCCACCGCCACAGATGAAGGCGGCCTTGTCGTCGCTAAACTCGGGCCTCTGCCGGTAATGGATGTTCTCGCCGCTGCATTCCGCGGCCTGCCCGGTCAAGCTGTCGTCGTCGATGAAATTCATAACCGCCTTGACGATCGTCGAGGCCGGCGTGATGTATTCCTCCGGGCAGGTGAAGGAGTAGATCTTTGTCAGGGCCGTGTGGACGAGGCCTGCCAGCATGCGTGAGTGAGGTATTCCATATCGGCAAGGCTTTGTTTTTGGTAGGTACGACATGGACTGGGAGAAGTTACGGACCTGGACAGATGCAATTCACGGTGATGGGTTCGCCGAGTTCTTTGAGTCGGACGCCCAAGGATCTCGTCAATCCGACGACCTGCCAAAAAAGCGTAAGTCTCATTCTCATTCTCATCCTGATCCTCAACACTCTTCGAAGAAGAATAACACGAAAAGAAACCTAAAGACCTTACCCCAGACTTCGCCGCCGAGTACAGCGGGACAGTGCCCCCAGTGTAAATCCCCGCCATGCTGGACGTGAAGATGATCTTGCCGGCCTTGTCGGGGTTCTTGCGGAAGTAGTGGAAGCCCAGGTACGCGCAGTAGATGGGGCCGTAGAGGTCGATGTCGATGACGGCCGTGTTGGGTTTGGGGGGGTTGCCGTCTTCGCGGTCTTGCTGGTGCGCGTAGAAGTTGATCCGGTCGCCGATGCCCTACACAGGCCCGCTTGATCATTAGAATCTCTTCACAACGCGAACTCTCTTTGTAGATGAGGGAGTGGAGAGAAGGTAGAGGTAGGTAGGTATTACAGCATTCCCAAACACCACGTCCAGGCGCTTCCATTCCTTCCAGGTCCGAGCAAACGCGGCCGCGAGCTCCTCGTAGTCGGCCACGTTGGCCTTGATGAAGAGGGCCTGGGGCCCGCATTGTTTCGCGACAGTTTGTCCCGTCTCCGCGTTGTAGTCGACGATAGCTACGTTCCAGCCCTGTGTCAAGAGATGCTGCACCACGGCGAGACCCATGCCCGAGGCGCCTCCGGTGACGAGACATACAGGGGCACTGCTCCGGGCGTCTCCATTGAGAGTGCTCATCGTTACTGGCGACCACAAGCAGTATATTATGTGCAATAAGATATCTGGAGAAGGAGAAGGGTAAGAAGATGATGCTTGGGGAGACTGGAAATACTGGATGTCTTCCTCAAACTTTTCGTCGCCTCTCTCGTCAATCCCAGGGGTATAAAGCCAACAAAGGATACCAGACGCGTTTACGTGATCACACGGACGAGCCAACACCACCAACCGAGGGTCTTTGGCGAAAAGAAGAGGTTAACCGGTGTGACCGACCGGCCGGTTACCCAACGCGGGGTAGAAACCGGGTTGCACGTTGAGACAACTTTGCCAGACGACGCGGCACGTGCAAGATAGCCATGTCGATGGGCATGATGCGGTCGTGGTCAGCTCTCTTGCCAAGGCGAGGTAGTTCGTAGGCCAGCATTATGGGTCGACGTTGAGTCGCAGATGGTAGTTGATAGATTGTGGGTACTCACCCCCCCCCCCCCCTCCGCCTCCTTTCCCACTATCCCTCTTTCGAATATGCATATGTTTGACTATTTCACGTCCAAGGAGCTCATAATATTATCCCACTACAATCACTTAACCAAGTCTCTCGTACCACAGAACTTTTAACCCGGAAATGCTTTTCAGCTCAGGGCCAAAGACGTTTCCCATCCTTCATTCAACTTCGCTCCGTGCAACCTTACGCTTCTTGAGCGCCTTCTCCGCGTCACTGCCGTAGCTATCCCTCTTTTCGGACAATCTCCCAGCGCTGATCTTGACGACGGCATCAATATCCACTTTTTCTGGATCGTGGCACACGGCTAATTTCTTGCGGATCCGCGTCAGCTCTTTCCGCTGCGCCGATGAGTCTTCCTGCGAGCAATGATAGGAACCAAGCAGCTTCGCACATGCTGAAATCGTGCTCCAGACTCTGTGTTTGAACGTCGCCGCCGCCGTTACATCGTCAAAGGGCAGATCGTTGAGTTTCTGTTCGAGATATGCTTGCGTGAGCTCACCATCAGCCACCATCATGGCGCCAAGCCAGATCTGGCTGGGCGTGTAGAGGAAATATGCGTCCGTCATCTGGGTTGCTCTGGTGAGGAGTCCCTTTGCCAAATCGGCAGCAGAATCGACTCTTTTCGATGTGAACTTCGTCGCTTTCGGACTATTGCTGTCGGGCCGACCCCCCTGTACCATGGCCATCATCTCAGCATGGCCACCCATAAGACCTTTCAGAGGGTGGCGCACGTCGAGTGTGAATCGGAGACCCTGCAGAAGAAGGAATTCAGGCGCCTTGACATCTTCTTCGGTCACGTTGTCGAGTTCCGAAACGAAGTTGGAAAGAGACATGTAAAAGTGATCTGCCTTTGTGGCTAGATATAGAGCGCAGACCATGATCGGTTTGGGGTGATATATCATGGGTGAATGTGTGAGGTAGAAGCGGCGGAGGTATTGAATCGCGGTAGCCTAGGGCATTGATAAGTAGTGTAAGTATATCTCGTAACGGTAACATCGTCAGAGGGCATGAAAAGGAAACCGTGTGTACCACAACACTGGAAGGGATTCTCGGGTTCATAGCCTCTCCCATATCGATAATCTTGGTACAAGCCCATTCCACAATCTTCACCTCCTCCTGCGCGGTGAGCGTCGGGACACCAGGAGCGGGATCAACAGATGTATTCTCGTTGTTCTCACTCGAGCCTGATGTTGGAACCCCCGTCTTTCGAATTGCCGCCCTGACACGCTCCGATGCCCGCCGATTCGTCCTCTGGCGGATTTGCGCGAGCTTTTCGTCGGGGTATGACCAATATCGATACTGGGAAGACGCCCTGTACTCGTCGTCTTCGATCATATTCAAGCGGGCCAAAGTCCACTCACGTATATAGGAGAGAAATTGATCTAGTGTAACTCAGTGGAGCAACATAGCGAAGACTATATACTATTGAATAATTAGACGAGGGGTTACTAGTGCCGTTCAGTAGTCTTCGGTCGAAAGCCGCCCCCGAAGAGCCTAGCGTGACCGTCATTACATTTGCCTTGGTAGGTAACCCCGTCAGTCATAGAGGTGTTGCTAGATATGCTGGCCTTCACAGAGACAATACTGCCGGTGCTCTGAGTCCCCAAGAGGCCGTACCGCTTTTCAGTGCTCTTGTAGTACGGTCAGTAGCCACCAGGATCACGCCTCCTGAAATGTACAGACTATGCCTCGTCGACTTTTACAGTGGCATGGTGCGTTGTGATCTGTTTGGTGTCGTGGTCCAGCTGGATATCGGCCTGGAAAACGGCGATTTCTGCCTCGTCTCCAAACAGAACCCCAATCTCCTCGAGGGGAATCCCACGAGTATCGGGCCAGTAGAACAGAATGACGATTCCACCCAGGCCGCCGGTGATGATGAAGCACAGATAGTACTTCCATCCGATAGTCCTGCAGATGGAATTAGCTTGGTGCCTCACAAAGATCCAGACGGGAGAGCTGGCTGGCGCCTGTATCTCCTTACTTGAAGGCGGTTGGTGCGGCTTGGAGCCAAACGACGTTCATCAGTGAAATCATTGAAACGCCCAATGCTACGCCCTTTGCGCGGACGTGGTTCGGGAATATCTCGCCGAGATAGCAAAATTGAGTGCCTGGATGCGTTGCGCGTTAGCTTGGCTTTTTGGGGGGCGGGTGTACCCAACACACAAAGACATACCAGCGATAGAAGGTCCGTAGAAGAGTTCAAACAAGAACAAGACGGCGACGGCGGCACTCAGGGCGGCGTGGTTGTTGGATGGGACAAAGTTGGCCACAATGGCGGCTTCGATGGTGACAACAGACACACAACCCAGAACACCAAAGGCCAACAGCCTGTTTCGGGGAAAGAAATCGACGATGAAGACACCCACGGCGTTCATCCCCGTGGCAAAGGTAAGCCATGCAGCCGGATACAGGAGCTGCTTGGTCTGACTGAAACCCAGATTTGCATACAGAATTGGTCCGTAGTCTAGAACAAAATCCATCAGTTCTGCAGGTTATACGTTTTTGGGTGGTAACAGGAGAGGTATCCCCTTGGATCCAAGTTACTTACTGTTGATGACCAGTCCGCCGCAACATTCAATGATGGCCGTAGTTCCCATGGCGATCAGGCAACGCTTCCGGTAGGACGGCTTCCGGAACAAATGCCTCCATGAGCTATCTCGATGGCGGTCCAAGGCTATTTGCTCGTGTATCTGATAAAATTCCGTGTTTGCAAACGTGTTGTCCGGATCGTCGGGATTCGCGTGGAGTCTCAGCAAGATCCGCTTCGCTTCATCAGAACGGTCCTTCATCACCAGCCACCGGGGACTCTCTGGGATCCAGTACAACCCTAGAAGTAGCAAGAGAGGCCAGACACATTGAAGGGCCAGGGGCGGTCGCCAGGTGTTGGACCCTCCGGTTTTCCAGAAGAAGAAGCCGAACCCGATCCACGCCGACAAGAGGTATCCGAAACCGAGTGCGAGGCTGTGAATGTAGACCAAACTCCCGCGGAAATGAGCGGGGACAACCTCACTCATCCATATCTATCGGGCGGTCAGAAAAAAAAAAGTCATCTCTCCAGGTATCGAAAGCACTTACCGGTACGGCCGCCAGCAACAGATTGGCACCAAGACCGGAGACGAAGCGGAAAAGGATGAATTCACCAATATTGACGCTGCCAGCCATGAATGCTCCCGATACGATACACCATACAGCACCCTGAAGTCATCGTGAGCAGTCTATCCTTGTTCCAGGGGGGGAAAGAAGATCAAGCCTACCCAGGCAATTGCCGATTTCCGTCCCCACCGATCACTGAGCCAGGGTGTTATCAAGGCGCCGAAGAACCCGCCGGCTTGAAACAGGCCATTCATGGCACCAATAAGGCCATCCCCATTGCTCCTAGTGTCGAGGTCAAAGTATCGAATGAATGAGGGTTGTCCTGCATCGCGAAGAAGTGTAAGTCAGGAGGGGGGGATAATGATATGACTCCAATAGGCCACATACCCACAGTATTCCCGATGACTGCGGCCGCGTATCCATAACTTGCAGATCCTAGGCCAACATAGCACAGAATCGCGACGTTGTACAGGGTGAGGGTTTTCTTCGCCCTCTTGGCCGATTGCGCCGCGGCGGCGCGAACCTCACCTGCCACGATATTAGAGCTCTCCGTCTTCATGGTCCACGTACAGTCACTGCTCTGGACAAATCAATGTAAAGTCCTCCCGCCCCAGCTTGTCAGTAGTAGATGTACTGGCTATATCGTCGTTGCGTGCGCCATATTCGAGAAGGTATATACCCACAATTTGAAGCTTTCCGGAGTACCGGGATCTCGGTATCTCGGAAAATTGCAACGAATTTGTGGACAGGAGAAAAGCTTAACTCACCTCCATGCTCCAGGGTGCCAGGTTACCGATGGATCTGAAAGATGGAGTGCATCAGAGAACTATACCCTGCAGCGCTCTGCAAGGTCAACTTGGCAATATTGGACGACGCAGGTGCCGAAGAGCCTTCTCCGTTAAATTGGTGGTCGGTACACTCCGAGTAACTGGCCATCACAACGCGAAAAGTCGAAACAAGAAAAGCAATCTTACCACATGTTGCCACTGGGTGGACGATAGAAATTGAAATGGGGGTAATTGATGTACATCCGTCCACCAAACGCACAGCCGCCGTCAACGATGTAGACAGGGCCAATGACCTGAACAAGACCGTCAAGGTCTGAGAATATTGTCCCCATCGTTCCCATCCATCCTCCACAGCTTGGTTGAATCAGGCCTGGTGCTTCTACGATTCTCGAACAGTCCTTTCTTTTGAGCAAGTGTCAAAACGAACTCGCTTTGAGTCTATCTGGACTGCTGGCTGATTGTCACTTTGATATTTGGATGTCGGTTTCTTTCAAGTCGCTTCTGAATTGATGAAATACATCAATCTTGGATCTCGACACAGCCTGCGCGCCTTGGGTGCCCGCTTATAAGTCATCATTAAGTGATGATTTTCTGCCAAAGTCTTTGGCGAAAGATGGTCAAGAGACAAGCAATCGGCTTAATGCTAGGAGCTAGCTAAAGCCGGAAAGTCCAGGAGTGGGTCACGGGGGGCTTTTGCGGAGGAGGGAGCGGCAGGCCTCCACCCCCGCCCACAAGCTGAAGGTATAGAGTACGGGGACGTGCGCCACAGCTTTCTAGGAGCAAAAGGGTGCTTCATGGATTGCTAGGGTAGCTCCTCGTCCAGTATCACAATCTACCCGCAGCCGTGGCTTACATTATATCCTGTTCTACCAGGAAAAAAAAAAAGAAAGCGGAAAAGGCAGGAAAAGTTGATTTTGACTTGAAAGTAATGAGACAGAACACAAGCAGATTGAATCCAAGTCTCCCGTTTCTGTAATTGTCTAGGCTCGACCAAACAGTACGGCGCCTGCAGACCTAGTGGTCGTGTCCGCGGATTGATGAGGCAGTGAAGCTACGCTGCTCGAGGGCCGCATGTTACTGTACTTCGCACCCACGACCGGCTTCGCTCGGAGCGGCATATCGTCCACTGACGCGTTCTTCCCTTCCGCCTCCTCTTCTGTCGGCAGCGGAGGAAAATCAATCTCTTCCGGATCGAGATAATTGGTCCGACTTCCACCAGAATAGTCAGCCAACGTATAGCCGTTCCCTAGCCATGACATGGGGTTACCCTCCATCTCATCCAGATAGGTATAGTCGAAATCTTCCCATCGGGGATGTCGCTGAGCATACAGGAGATTCAAAGCATTGCCGCAGTAATAAGCGAGGTTGCGCCCTTCTTCCTTGCCGCGTTTAAACCATGACTTGCATGGTTGGCCGAAAATCGAGGTTGAAAGGTAGGAGTTGACATGGGCCACGTATTGCTTCAGACGCTCCGGCTTGATGCTCATGGACTTGATCTTCTCCCTCAGCATCTTTTTGAGACAAGATACCAGGAGTTCACATTCGCCTTCGATCACAATGTAGGATCCTCCGGCCCCGGCTCCGCAGTTCGGTCCCATATAGAGATGGCAGTTCGGCATCTGATCCGGAATAGATCCGAGATAGCATTCTGGCTCTGGGTCCATCACTTCATCCCAAGTGACGCCATTGCGACCCTTCATAGGGAATCGACTGACAAAATCTCTGCGAGGACATGAATGTCAGTAACTGGAAGTCGCTTGGCAATGAGTGAGACACTTACACGTTGAATCCTGTGCACCAGATGATAGCATCCACCTCATGGAGTACACCGTCTTCAGTAACAATACCCTTTTCTTCCACGTGATCAATCTCTTTGTTGATGAAGTTGACGTTGGGCTGTACAAGTGCCTCCAGATATCCGGGGCCAGGAGTCACTAATTAGCCCGTCAGCCCATAGTCCTGTAGAAGTCTTCACCGTACTTACGGCGCCGACAGCCGGGCGGATAGCTGGGCAGCATCGATTCCAAAATCTCCGGCTTGGTCTCAAGCATCTTCTTCATGTGTTCATCAAACAACTTCTGAATGGCCTGCTGTCTTGGTGTGCCGTAGGTAAAGCCAGATTCTGTCATGTAGTCATTCATGGCCTCTTCGACCTCTCGACGGTGTCGGTGGCACTCATCCGGATTACTATTAAAGAGCCGTTTTTCTTCGGCGGTATAGGCGACTATCGCACGAACAGTCAGGTCGCCACAACTTCAAGTGCTCTCCAGTCAAGTAAGACTTACAGTTACCCTCACTAAGCGCTTCTCGCTTCTCCAGCTCAATGGCTCCGAACCCGATCGGTGCAATCCAGTTGCGAGACCTCATGTAATGGTCTACATGGCTGGCAACCTTTTGGATGTGTGGAAGGATCTGGATCCCAGTGGACCCGCCACCTACCACAGCTACTCTTTTGCCCGTGGGATCGAAGGAAGTGTCGTAGTTCGCCGAGTGCATGTATGGTCCTTTGAAGCTATGGAGACCTTTGACTTTAGGCCATTCCCAGTTGTTCAACATCCCCCACCCCAGGACCAACACATCGGCTACGTCTGGGAACTCCTAGAGAGAAGCAATCAGCTTTCACTGAGACAAGCTCGAGGTGTGTGGTCGATTACCTTGTCGGTTGTCAGGTCTTTGATCATGAGGTGCCATTTGCCTTCGTCTTCATTCCATTCGGCGTTGGTGACGCGGTGATTGAATTTCATGTACTTCCGAACACCGAACTTCTGAGCAACCCCTTGAACATAGCTACAGATCTCTTGGCCACTGGCATAGTATTTGGACCAGTTGGGATTGTTTTCGAAAAGAAATTGGAAGCACGGCGCTGGGATGTCACAAGCAACGCCAGGGTATTTGTTCTCCAGCCAAACGCCTCCAATGTCTATCTCAAGCCTCGATTGTCAGCTGTGTGTCCGTCAAGCACTCTGGCACAAAACTATCCGTACCTGAGTTTTTCTCATATATCTGAAGATCAACGTGCTTGCCTAGATGTTGCGGCAGTCTGATGGCAGTCGTCACCCCAGAGATGCCGGCACCAACAGTAACCACCCTGAGTTTTCGTCCGGGGTCATCAATAGCACGAGGGATAATTGGTGCTTTGAATTGGGAGAAATGGAGTTGCCCTGCGAAAACCATTGTGCCAAATCCGTACCTAAACTCGTTTGTAGAAAGGGGCAATTGTTGAGACTAGGTAACCACTCTTACTGAGGGGGTTCCTTTTTCAATCGACTCATGAACTAAAACATTTTACAGTATTCTCGACTCCGGTAATAACACACTTACTCTCGGACCGTCGCATATTCCCATCGAGCTAGTAGCATTATCTAGAAAGGCTGTTCGGCTACTCGGTGATTGGGTCATCTCATCCAACTATGGCGGGTTTTCGGTTGATACACGTCTAGACCAGTTGTTCCGGGCTTGGGACAAAGCCCAAATGCCCCGTCAGTAGCTGTAGATGATCGAACAAAGGAGAGTATCTGTGATTATGACAACGGTGCCTTATGCGGCTGTTACTGTAGACTCCGCCGGGGTTGGCATTTCGGGGTCGGTAAAGTGTGCTTGAGGTCAGCACTTTGGCGGCCCGATACTCCCAAGAAGAAGCGATTGCTAGTAAATTACGATTTCAGATGGACAACCAAGTTCAAAATGATTACAGGATGATGATTACTGTCTTGCTTCTAAATCCTCTCAGGCACCTCTGCTAGCAGGGAAGGTCCTAAACCTTGCTCAATATGTTTTGCACATTGTCGGTAGCCTGTGAGCTCCTGTGAATATCAAAACGGCCGAGCAGTCTTTGAATATACCGTGGCTAGGGCTGGACTAGAGGGGGGACTATTTGATCGTTTGCGAATCTCAGAGTCTCTAGGTATCGCTATTCACTGCATCATATTCTCCAGACCAGCAGAAATGGAAGTTCCCAGGCGTACCTTCACCACCAAAGAGGTTGCTCAGAACAACACGATCCATTCGATTTGGTGCATTATCGATGGAAAGGTCTACGACCTTACAGACTTCGCCGATGCACATCCAGGGGGATCAGTCGTACTACGACGAGTTGCTGGTACCGACGCAACCGACGCGTTCTACGGCCTCCATCGCCATGAACTTCTTCAGAAATATCATGATCTCTGCATCGGCGAGATTAGGGGCCACAAACCTTTCCCTTGTCCACAGCGCCCCTGGTGGCTTAAGTCAAGTACCCTATGCCGAGCCCATCTGGTTAAATCGTCTATACAGAAGTCCATACTACAACAAATCGCACCTGACTTTCCTCCACGCTGTCAGAAACTTCGTGGATGTCCATATGTACCCCGAAGCGCAGCAGAAAGAATCCGATGGAACATACATCTCCAAGGAGCTGATCGGCAAGATGGCACAAAACAATATCCTTGCGATGCGATTGGGCCCTGGTGTTCACCTTCACAACCTCACGTTGATGAACTTTCTTCCTGGTGACCAGTTTGACTATTTCCACGACCTCATCCTGTCACCAGAGTTATCTCGAGCCGTAGCTCGAGGCTTTCAAGATGCTGATGTGGCAGGACTGGCTATAGGTCTAACAGCGATACGACAATGGGCAGCAGACCCACGACTTCGCGACAAGATTAGTCAGGAGTGTCTTTCAGGGCAGAAGTTCATCTGTTTGGCCATCACCGAGCCCTTCGCCGGTTCGGATGTGAGTGGGATCCAGACGACAGCGACGAAATCAAGGGACGGCCAGTACTACATCGTCAGCGGAGTCAAGAAGTGGATCACGAATGGCATGTTTGCTGACTATTTTGTCACGGGCTGCAAAAGCGAAGACGGATTCTCTGTACTCCTGATTCCTCGAGACGAAAAACGTCCAGACTAGACCCATCAAGATGGCATCCGGGATGACCGCCGGAACGGCTCTCGTGGAGTTCGACGACGTCAAGCTGCCGGCTAACCATTTAATGGGCGAAGAAGGTAAAGATCTAAAAGTGATAATGAGCAACTTTAATCACGACAGGTTCTCCATGATCTGCTTCACGACTAGGTGGATGAGAAGGATCACAGAAGAATGTTTCAAATGGACACATCAACGGCGCGTCTTTGGTAAATTACTGGTCGATCAGCCTGCTATCCGACAGAAGTTAGCCCGAATGATATCCATGACCGAAGCATGTCAGAGCTAGTTAGAGTCGGTCACTTTATCAGATGAACTCGATGGAGTACAAAGAGCAATCTACTGTACTCGCAGGGCCGATCGCCCTTCCCAAGTCTTACGTGACTCGCTGTGCCCAGGATATTGCTGAGGATGCAGTGAATATCTTCGGTGGCCGCGGTCTCACCCCGTCTGGTTTGGGAAAGGTTGTCGAGATGTTTTATAGGACTTGTAAATGTGACGCCCTATTAGGGGGCGCTGAGGAGGTTTTAGCGGATCTGGGAGTACGACAGGCCATGAAGCAAATGCCTAGAGCCATGCTCTAGGCTCCAAGGAAATCTAATAGACAACTACCTACAGGTGACGAATAGGTGAACGAGTAGACACGATTCGCCCAGCAACCTGAGGTCGAGTTTCCTCAGAGCTTCGATACTATATTTCAAAGAGGGTTACGGTCAGAACCGGAGGAACATTACACTGTTGGTTCGCACTTCTCCACATACCCTAAACCACACAGTGTGCACCTCGACAGCTCTACTATCTGGTGCTTTCTGGCAAGCCGGTCTGGTTTCGCTTGAAGGTCTGTGCCAAAGATACAGGGTGCCGAGCCGGCAGAGAGACCAATCCGGTTCCCGTATTGAGGCTTTGCGTCCGCTGCCATGTGATGGAGGCCAAGGATCCTCGTACGCCAAGGCTTCAGCCCACCAGAGCCGATACCATGTGTGATCGTGATTGGTGATCGTGATTGGTTTTGAGAGAAAAAGCCGAAAAGCCGGGACAGGATGCCTACACTTCGTGGGGGACTCCACCATAGCTGGTTTCCCCAGAAAAAGCTGCATGGCTCCTCAGGCGGCAAGTCGGCTACATCGCCACTGATAGAAATAGGCAAACACCCATAACAATCATCGCGTTGCCCGACAATACGCTCCAGATGTTTGACAGCGAAGTCCTATATTCAAACGTTGAGTGACTCCATCATGGGTTACAGCATCACTTCGGTACGTCCGCTTTCGTTGGTGTTCGACGCGTGGGCGGTTCCAAGTTGTGCTGACCATCCGTTGGCGTAAAGGTGCTCATTGGAGCAATGACAGGCTCGCTCCTCACCGGCTATGCCCAGGCTCTTTTGTCCAATCAGCTGGGCCAGGCGGAGTTCTATGTCACGATGAAATTGGATCCGTCAAGTCAACATGGCACCGACATGATCTCCGTCTTTGGAGGTATCTTCTTCGCAGGGGGGTTCATTGGAACCCTCTTCACTGCCTGGACATCCGAGGTCTGGGGCCGCTTGCGTGGATTCCAGATTGCGGCCTTCTCACACGTCGTCGGTGCTGTGATTCAGACCGCCTCCATGAACCAAGCTATGGTACGTAGACTGACTCTTGCTGTGAGGGCGTTCAGTCTAAGCTGATACGGGCTTGGGCTTAATTTAGTTCACGGTCTCGCGATTCCTCTGTGGATTTGCAACGGGACAGACATCGGCCGCCATGGTGGCGTACTACTCTGAGATCAGCTTGCCGAAGACTCGGGGCTTGAATACAGGCCTTCACGCCCTGTTAATCGAGCTTGGAGCTGTTGCCGCTTCGTGGATCGGGGTCGGATGCTTCTATTCTACAATCGGGACATTTGGTTGGAGATTTCCAGTCTCCCTGTCGGTCGTGATTGGACTCATCTTCCTTGTTGTATCATTCTTTCGTAAGACATGCTAACTGAATCCAACTGAGAAACTGCGGACCAAACTGACCTTTTTCGCAGTGCCAGAGAGTCCTAGGTGGTTGGTGCGCTACGGAAGGTTGGACGAAGCATACATTATTTTGCAGAACCTGCACAGAGCCGCCACCTCTCATGACGAGACGATTGCGGCACGAGAGTTTGAGCAGATCAAATTACAGAGCGAAGCCGACGCTGCGGAAGTGGCCAAGCACGGAAGGTGGAAAGCGCTCTTTGTCCAAGCTGCATACAGGAAGAGATTGTTGATTGGCTTTGGCGTGGTATGCTTCACACAGAGCTGCGGCTTCCTGGTCATCTACAGTAAGCCTCTCAAATCCAGAGAAGGGATATGAGTCTACCGCTAAAGGCTTCAAGATTACGGTGTCATGCTGTACAACTCTCTAGGTCTTAGTACCGCTGAGGCACTGATGTCGACTTCGGGTTGGATCTCCTGGACCGGAGTGTGCATCCTTATTGGGAATGTGACTGTCGATCGCATGGGACGCCGACTGTCTTTGAGTGAGGCGTCTTCCAAACTGTGTTACGGACTCTGTGCTAATCTGACAAGTAATCGGCTTCATCGGGCTGGCTATCTCGCTCGCCATCTTCACAGCCTGTCTCAAATACTTCCTCGACACCCAGGACAACAAGTATGCGGTGCCCGCAGTGACTTTTCTCTACATTACCGCTCTTCCGTGAGTCACGCCCTTCTCTGTAATGGTAAAGCTCACTGATACCTCTCTCTTCCCAAGATTTGGAGCTTGTCTCGACAACAATCAGTTCACTGTCGTGAGCGAAATCTTCCCCAACCACCTGCGCACGCTGGCCAGCTGTCTCTGCATTAGTGGGCTCTATTTGATGCAGACTCTTTGGCTCAACGTCGCTCCTACAGCCATGAATACCATTTCTTGGAAGTTTTATTTGGTCTTCATCATCCTCAGTTTCTGTGGCGCTATCCATGTCTACTTCTTTCTCCCCGAGGTAAGGTTGCTGTGGCCACTACTCTCGCACTGACAAATGCTGACAGTGACAGACCAAAAATGTGCCTCTGGAAGAGCTTGATGCTCTGTTTGGTCACGAAATTGCTATACGCCTGGAGGATGTCCACCTAGAGTCTCCTCAGCAGGTAGAAGTGAAGGGAAGTAATTTGGCTGTCCACGAGGAGTGTGGGAGAAGTTTCTGAAAGACGATTCGATATGGGAAAGTTGGGCGCTAGAAGCCGTGAACAGAAGGCTGCAAAACTCGCGAATTGAGGAGTGCAAACTCTGTTGCAAGTTTTCAGAGGTTTTGGCAATGTGGATTTGTGTATTTGTACCCAAGAGTGCACTCTAACTTCGGTGGTACAATAGACGTGCTAAAGAGAACGTGAATTGCATCAAGTTGACTTATAGACATTCGACGTGGACACCGTTGCAGCCCTCCTTTCTGGCGAGATTTGCTAACACCGGGGAGCTCTGAGCAATGCTCTACCCTCATTACCCTCATGGCATGCACGATTGAATCACTTGAACACGGCAAATACGGTGGGTTGACCATTCCACTATGGTCACAAACCCTTTCGGTCTTGCCATTGCATGCTTCGCAACAGAAGCTCTACAGGGTAGCTCGTGGTGGTTCATAAACCAGTGGAAACGACCATGAACGTTCTAGTCCGGTGTAATTTGGTGACTCTCAGAATAGAAAATACTTGTGATTAAGCCGTGCCGGCATGAACGGGTTGAGAGAGATTGTTTCCCTCTGACAACAATCTCTTTGAAGCCTGGGACTGAGTTAAGCACGCTCGTAGGACATCAAGAGTAGGGGGTGACGGGTTTTCGGTACTAAGAGCTTGTACGGCGTCGCTTCGGTAAGTCGGGTTTAGCTTCGAGCCCTTTTGATGCGCCTGGACAAGGCCCGACATCTTGGTTTGAGAGGTGCCAGAAACATTTATTTACTTAGTATGTCTATGCAGTTGAAAGTACAAGGTGACATCTTCCTTTGAGGTGGTTTGAGGGCTATGGTGGCAGGATGGTCTTTTACTATATCATAGGATTGGTTCTGGCCTACGGAATATACCGGCTCCTCCAGATTGGCCAGCGAGAGCCAGGACTCCCTCCGGGGCCCCCGGTGGTCCCTATATTTGGGAATCTACTACAAATACCCAAGGAACAAATTGAGTGGCAGTAAGGCTTCCCAAACCTGGAGATACCCAAGGTTCTACTTTGGTTCATTATCATCGCTTACACCCTACAAAAGGATCGCCGAATGGCATAAACAGTATGGTCCAATCATGTCGTTGAAGTTTGGCTCCGCCACTGTGATTGCCATCAAGGATAGAGAAGCCATCCGTGATCTCTGGGAAAAGAAGTCCCATATTTATTCTGATCGTCCACCGAGCTATGTGGCTCGCCTGCTCACCCAAAACCATCATGCGGCTTTCCAGTCCATGAACGACGAATGGAGAGACCGGCGGAAGTTAATGTCTCATTATTTTTCTCCTCAGAAATGTGACAAGATCCACGCCGAATACCAGAATGCCGAGTGCGTATTTCTACTGATCAGGATGGATTGCTCCGGCGGCTGACTTGGCACGTGCTGATCAGGGCTCTCGCGTTACTTTGCACTCTGCTAGACGAGCCTCAGAATTATTACAAACTCTTGAAGAGGTATTCTGCAGCTGTGACCGGTGCCCTCACCTACGGCAAGCGTCCCAAAGCTTTCGAGGAACCGTTGTGTCAAGATGTGGGCGCCGCAATGGGCTACCTGGCGGAAAACATGGAGCTCGGGGCCACACCTCCGGTGGACGAGTGGCCTTTCAGCCTGTTGCAATTGGTGCCTCCATCGTTTGCATTCTGGAAACGTCGTGCGATAGAGCATGGACGTAGGATGGACGCACTCTTCGCCAAGTTATGGAACGAGTACCTGGGTCGACGAGAGCTTGCTCCTGCGTCCAATTGCCTCTTTGACGAGTTCTGCAGCCAAAATCCCGGTGCGAAGACCGGAGGATCACTGGGAACGTGGCGGTGGGGTTTACACTCGTTGCAGTTTTTAGGAGGGGAAATCCTCGAGGGTGGTGCCGACACAACTTCGTCTACGCTGATTTCATTCGTCATGGCCATGGCCTGTTGGCCGGAATATCAGAGAAAGGCGCAAAAGGAGATGGACAGTGTTGTGGGAGAAGACCGGACTCCTCAGTGGTCAGACTACGACAACCTTCCGTACATTGCCCAGATTCAGAAGGAGACTCTGAGGTGGCGATGCGTTACTGTGACAGGAGTCCCTCACGTTGCGCGCGAAGACGATTACTACAAAGGATATTTGATCCCAAAGGGTGCACGAACGATGCAAAGTACCTGGTGAGAAATCTGCTTGCTCCCACGCTGAATTCCATCGCTGATTGTCGGTATCCAGGGCGCTGCACATGGATGAAGAGTACTATGAAGAACCTGAGAAGTTCAATCCCGATCGGTACTGATCTGTCTTGTGTCACCTTCAAGACAGAGCACCTAGAGCTAACCCCAACCAACTCCACAGATACGACCAAAGGACAAGGCTGGCAGATCATTACCAAGGAAATCCAGACTGGAAAGATCGCGACCATTATGGTGTGTTGCCTATCGCTCTCTTATCATTAGCAGGGACATTTGATCGCTGACTGGGGTGGGGTGCCTCCATAAAGCTTACGGAGCCGGTCGACGAATCTGTCCTGGCATGCACATCGCCGAACGGAATTTGTGGCGATCCATTTCGAAAATCATCTGGGCATTCGATATCTCTCCCGCGATCGACCCACGGACGGGCAAGCCAGAGCACATCAACACGGCTGCATTCACTGTCAATGGCCAGCATTCGGCTTTCATAGGAGGCGCCAACCGGGTCGCAAAGCCGTTCAACGTCGTTATTGCGCCGCGTTCCCAGGCTCGCGTGGAGACCATCAAGAGGGAATATGCTGAAGCCGAGCCTCTTCTGAGTCAATTTGACTGAGGGAAGCGACAGAATCGCCACCACAGTCAACGCCCCAGAGCCAGATTCACTGGCGTGATCCCTTCACCGTCTCTTTCGACTTCAGACGGCTGTGTTTGACCCATCTAAAGTGCCCCATTAGAGAAGAACTGAATACTACCAGCACAGGCGAGGATTTTATGAAGTGGCTATTAGTTTATCAAGGATTCCGACGGGGTGGTATCCGCAGAACACCCGTGCTAAGGCCTACCTGAGAGGGATAGATAGCTGGACACGATCTGATATACCGCAGGAGAATGAATACAGGGAAGCTAGCGACTGTATAGAAAGCTCCCCGGGAGGGGGGTAGACAACTGAAATTCGTTTTATATCACTAAAGGTAGGTATCTATCACGCAACGAGGGGTGTTGCTAGAATCGGTAATCTGATACATTTCCCTATGTTGTTGACATTTTATATATTATTTCACCTGACAGGTTTGTGAAATCATGCACAAGCTGCAGTGTCCCTAGGTTGTGACAATAACTGAGCCGCACTTGTCAATTCATGGAAACAAATGTGGTAACCAAAGCATATCAACATGCTTGGAGCAAGACCATGTTTTCCATGTCTTACAAGATGCTAAGCAAACCGCGGGCGTCCTATTCTCTCTGACGTGGCGGTGCCTGAATCAGCGACGTCCGAGAGAACAAGCTCGCTCGCACGCCTTGCCCAGTACCAATGGTGAGTCGAGATGTCGTTATGCTGCCGAGAGCCTTTACCAATCGGGAAGTTCTCGGCCTCGGGGCTAGGGATTCTTGGAACAAGGAGTGGCCACTCGAGTGTCCAGTCATTGACTCGTCGTGGAGTGGTTTAAAGCTCTAGAGAGAGTGCTTGCATCTGAATCTCTATAGTTGACCCTTCGCCTGCTGGATGGCTCTACGCGCAGAGCGTGCAAAGAAGGTCAAAAAGTGCGTCAAATGGAGGTCCGCCATCGAGGCATTAGGGGCGGTAACAGTGTTGACTGTCGACTCGATAACGATGGACATCAGGTCCATGAATTCGTGCGCCTTTGGACCTGCAGGTCGATCAAGCACGGCGAGAAATAGAACATTGAAGGCGTAGGCTGGTAGGGGTTGCAAATACCTGTAAACGAAAATCAATACCCGAAGTTTTGGGAAGTTGACGTGATGCTCAGTCTGCGGTGAAGAGAAGACATGGCATCACCAGAGACTGACCAGAAAAAATTGATGTTGCCTTTGGGCAACACTGATGATAGTTTAACCAGCGAGGCGGCAGCCTCGCTGGCAGCATCCAAGTCCGACGCCGAAGGAAAAGTGTCTCGGAGAAGGTCGAATGCTTCAGGGGTTCCCGAAAGACTTTGGGCAGCTTTCAAGGAGAATAAGCGCAGCCGAAGGATGGATTGTATCCAAAAGACTGAGGTGTTAAGCAGTGCCACTGGAAATTGTAGGGTAAGAGGGACAGCCAGGAACTTCTCCATTCCAACCGAGGGGTCCAAAACCCAGTCCTGGTTGACCGAGCTGGAAAATTGAGATATCTGCCGAGTATTCTTCAGCCCCAGACTCTGTCAAAGTAAATCCACCACCCAACTCGTAAACAGAATTCATACCTCATGTTCAAGATCAACGACTGCGCGCTCCAGAGCTTCGAGTTCATAGTCCGACGTAATCAGATCGTAAGCTCGCTGGGCAAAGTGGCACATCTCCACGTTGAATAGAAAGAGCTGTTCCTGAGCCCTGTTTCGGTTCAGGGCGTCTAGAAACGGCTGGCCGCCGTCCAACCCAATGGGGCTGTCGATTCTCTGAAACGGGGGCTTCAAAGAGATTTCCTTCCTCCGAAGCATTGGCGAACGACCAATGCGAAAGGCAAGTTCTGGAGCACAGATTAATTCCTTGTACCGTCTGTTGGCTTTGTCGCCCTCGGAGCTACTTACGGATGTCGAGGCAATACAACGACCAGAAAATGAGGCTCCTCTGTTTCATTTCGGACCGCGAAAATCCCCAATTGGCTGCTGGTTGGAGGTGCATGCCCAAGGCCTCCGCCTCTCTCACCGCTGCTGCCAATATGATGTACCCCCAGTGTGGTGTTGTTGTTTGGCTGAGAAAGAGGTACTGTCCGCGATAAGTGAGCGACAATCCGGCACAGTTGAAGAATAATGACAGCACACACCATCAACATGAGGACTTGAACCTTCGAAAGATGCGAGTAACCCAACAGCACGCGAGAGATACTCCCCAGGGCATTTTGGAACAGGCCGCTTATTTGATCTTCGTTCGAGTCGGGAATGGCTCTGCACCCGATTGCCAGTGTGATGTTGACCATGGCACAATGCGTGGGATTCTTGTTCGGCTTCAGTTCATGATATGTGGTGGCAAATTTGTGCATGAAATCCTGTCGGTTCAGTATTGGAAATACACTAGCTCACTGGTTAGAATCGTAAGGATAAGACAAGTAAGTTGTGCTAAAACCACCATACCATTGCACCGCCTTGAAATACGCTGATCCATTGTTCGTCAGCAGGGTTTCGCTTACAGAGCCAGTCCAAGATATGTGCTTACCGTCAATGTACGTAAGAGCAACATCATAGGTTGGAAGGTGATTCTCGTTATATACTTCAGAGGCCTCAATGATGCTCTCAGTGTCGTCGGGATTCCATTTGGACAGGAAAACTCGCATCTGCTCAGCCAGGAATGCCGAACCAGTGATCTTGGTGATCCACTGGTGTCCGAGATAACTACCCGGAATGAACTGAAACCCTGTTTAGCAAGTCTGCCACCCATCCGATCCAACAACAATGCTATGCTGCGTTGGCATAAGCTTACCGACATGCTTGGACCTGGACCTCAGTCAGAAAGGAAACACATGACAATGATGTTTTGGAGACTTTTATTACCCATATACTTGACGTGTCCACTGGCAGCAATTTGCATACTGTCGCCGATATCCTGATCTGTCAATTCATCTTCGAAGTCACCACTGTCTGACGCTTCATTTGCATTCAGATCTAGACCTATGTCATCCCACGAAGAGCCTCCGTGGCAGAAGTCAATGCCTGGCGCAAATTCATGCGAAGGCAGCCGTGCCATAGAAGCTCCTTTGTCCATCGAAGATATCTCCCAAGGTGCCGCAGCGTTAGGAAATTGCTTCATGACGGTCTGGTCCGCGGCATTCTGCTGAAAGTCATCGGAGAGCATGATCGGAGTGAGCATCCCGGTACGATCGCACCCATTCGCCTGGACGTCGGTCATGCTGAGATCGTCCTGGCGAGAGAGATCTTGAGTGGGCTTAGGTGAGGGACCTCGAAATTGGAGGCTCTCAGCGTCGAGAAGGCACAACATATCGTGGTCCAAGTCATTCATATCCGGCGGCGACGGAAAAGGTTGGAAAGTTCTATCGGCGGGAGAGGTAACGGTTCGAGCACCCAGGGAAGTCTCGGTCATTCCCAAAGGACTTGTTGCGTTGACGTGTATGAGGTTATCTATGTTACGTGTCAATGAGAGGTCAGAGTATCAAATGTTTCCCTCGACACACATGGCGTTGCAGGATTTCTTTGGGCATGCTGCGTCAAATCTCCTGCTGGTGCGAGCTCTGTGCCTGACGGAGAGCTGGGACTGCGAACGTCTTTGCTGGATGACGTAGTCAGGCCCGGTGCTGTATCCAGCGATTGCGTCTTCCCTTGCTGTTTTGATTTGGATCTCGTCGCTCGAGGTAGATAGACACACACGCTTTGGTGCAGGCGACAATTGGCGCAGGCAGGTTCGGCACCGTCACCTAGGTGCAATCGAGTCAATTGCCCTGTTGTGCGGACGACGCCTCCAAGTCAATCAAAGGATACATACATCGGACCTTCTTCTTCCTGCAAATCTTGCATGCCCTGGGATTTCGTCTTTCGCAGTCAGCCTAAGTGCACCAGTACAGGCTGGTGGCTTCTCACCTGACTGCCCAATCCACGGCGCTCGTCACAGTGTGATTCTCTATTCCAACCATCACGGTCTTTGGTGTTGGGATTGAAGCCACATGTGTGGGGGAACTTTGCAGCGTGAGATGAATTTTGAAGTTGGAGCCATGTCCCCCCAGAGCAGACCTAGACTAGGTCGAGCGGTTGGCCAAGCGGCAAGGCGGGGGGGTATCTGGCTGTTACCCCCAGCAAGCCCCGGGTTACAACAATGGAGAAATAAACGCGGACTCCGCCACCCCAGGTACTGAGCTCCAGATGCCACGGCGTTTTCATGCTGGGGTCGTACGACTATTGGCAGGTATGCCCACTTGGTATGCTGGTAGGGTCTTGGAGCCGAGAGGGCCGCACGAGGTTTCGGGTTTCCGGCAATTCGGACATTGTACAAAACTAGCTTAGGCGGTTGTGCCAGAAGTGGTATAGCTTCATAGCTCGGTAGCTACATTATAAGGCGCCAAACCTTTTCGGGCGACAGACCCACCTCTACATCCAGGTTGTGGCACGTGTTTGCTCTTGGTGGCCGCAGAACCCCCAGATGTACCGAGATATCCAGGCAATGCGCAGGAGACTTAGTAGGGGAGGTGTATCGCGTTTTGTGCAGGACGGGGTTGCCGTGTGAATGACATTTATCTGATGCTTGCCAAGCAATCACCTCCTGAAGTTTTTCCTTACTCTCCGCGTAACGTCAACGCAATAACGGAGCGGTACATGGCTTGAAATACATCTGATGGCCTTGGGTCTTCATCTCACTGTTCAGAACAGCCAGCTGGACCTTGGAAATTGTATAGCAAGTTAGGAGACCTATAATTTATGTGCGCTCGCAAAGTACCATCCTAACCGACTGGCCCAAGCGGCCAAGCCGAAATGCCGATGTCGAGATGTCAACCTCATTTGATCTGAACATATTTTCGACCTACATTTTGACATGCTCCATCACGAGCTTGGAGTTGCGGAGGTCAAGGTCACTAACATGACTTCCCAACCAAGACGACCAATACGGATCGGCAACTGTGCCGGGGCGGCGTGCGATGCTGGTTACCAAATGTATCGACAGTGTACTCTGGGCCCAATTGATGTGGTGACGGGGGACTATCTCGCTGGTTAGACCACACTGCTTGGAATATCGGAATTTTGCTAATGACAAATTCACCATTCTTCAGAAGCCAATTTGGCCCAAAATGCTGAAAATTACCAGGCTGGAGCACATCATGGATATGATCCCAACGCGCTGGAAGGATTAAAATTGTCCCTCGAGGTGGCTGCAGAGCGGCGGATTAAACTCATTGTCAATGGTGGCGCTTTGAACCCGGAAGGGCTGGCAAAGGTCGTTGATTCCATGGTAAGCGAGGAAGGAATGGATCGAGTCAAGTCGTTTGGTACTGGTCTGACGATGTGAATCCCAGGCTCGAGAGAAGAAGTTGGACCTCAAGGTAGCTTGGTTGGTCGGTGACGATGTGAAAAGTCACTTCATCTCGATGCTTGACAGCGGGGTGACGCACCTGGACGGAGACAATGCTGCATGTTTTCTGACTCCCGAAACTCGGACTTTTCTCGAAACTCCAGCCCGTTTTGATATTGTCACAGCTCATGCATATCTCGGCGCTCGAGGGGTGAAGAAAGCATTGGACCTTGGAGCCGACATCATAATTTGTGAGTTACTTTTCGTGCGAATCGTCGAGTCTCATGCTGACTCTTTATCTTCCCACGTTCAGGCGGAAGAGTGTCAGATGCCAGCCCTGTCATTGGAGCTGCTTGGTGGTGGCATCAATGGAACGACACCGACTACGACCAGCTTGCAGGATCCCTGGTGGCAGGGCACCTCATTGAATGTAGTGGCTATGCCACAGGGGGCAACTTCTGCGAATTTTTTCAATTCCCTCTACAGAACCTCGTTGACATTGGCTTTCCAATCGCGGAGATTGATGCTACAGGATCAAGTATCATCACCAAACACGAAGGTACGCGTGGCTTTGTGACAGTGGACACCTTGAAAGCGCAACTTCTCTACGAGATCCAAGGCAATATATATCTTCACAGCGACTCCAAGGCGGATCTTTCCAACGTGGTCATGGTCGAGGAAGGACCAAACAGGGTCAGAGTCACCGGCACCAAAGGGCACCCACCGCCACCGACGACAAAGCTGGCCGCTTTCTATCGTGCAGGCTGGCAATGTGAATATACCCTCACGGCCACCGGCTATGCGACGGCAGAGAAATTTATACTGCACGAACAGCAAATTCGTTTTCGTTTGCACGAGGTCGGAGAGCACGATAATTTTCAGGTGCTGGAATTCCAGGTCTACGGTCTTCCTGAGACCAACCCTGAGTCTCAACTACGAAGCACGACTGCGATTCGAGTATTTGGACAAGCAAAAGAAAAACACACGGTCGAAGCGCTAGCCAACGCCATGTTGGAAAGTCTTTTACAACACTATGCGGGTATGCATGGTACTTTGGACTGGCGAACACTCGTACCAAAGGTGTACTTGGCTTATTGTCCGTGTCTGATCGCGCAGAGTGACCTGACAGAGGCCGTTCATATCATCGACCAAAATGGAGCCGTCCAGGTGGTCAAGAGTGGCTCTCCATCAAAGTACGAAGAGGTGCCAGCGCGAGTGGACTATGACACGGAATTTCCCATTGATTGCTCGACATTTGGCCCTACCCAGGATGCCCGTCTAGGCGACGTGGTCTTGGCCCGTTCGGGTGACAAGGGAGCCAACTTGAATGTAGGCTTCTTCGTCCGCGAGGACGATGAATGGGACTGGCTACGGAGCATCTTGGATCACAAAGCCATGATACGCCTCATGGGGAAAGAATGGCAGGATGAGTACAAATTGGAGAGGTGCGAACTGCCTGGAATCCATGCCGTCCATTTCGTCATCTACGGTATACTGAAGAGAGGAGTAAGTTCGACGGCTCGCCTGGATGCATTAGGCAAAGGGTTTGCCGAGTTCATGCGCGACCGATGGTTAAGGATCCCAGTCAAGTTCTTACACCGGTATGCTGAGAGCCGTCCCGCCAGTCATAAGGGTCTTCCGCTAATTCCATGTAAATGAATTCGGAGAAAACCCAACTGCTCAAGGCTGTTAAGTATAGTCGCTTCATTGGTGTCACCCTGGCACACGAATAAAAACCTCTATCTATCCACTTGTGCCAGGATTTCTGGTCGCGATATCGTTCACCAGGGTCGTCCGTCTTGCATTTATCGCACTATAAGCAAAGTGCTGAACTTGTAGCCGGGCCGAGATGGCGACGCAATGGATCAATATGTGGCATATTCTTTTTCAAGCGGCCTTATCAACATGGGCTCTACCTACGCAGAGACTCCAATCTTGGTAACTGAGTGTAGGATACAAACCCGCATGGCAATCTCAGGGGTGGAGGTGCTATTCGCCTACAGGTCTCTATGAGTGATTGAACACGGGCGGACTATCGCACACCAGGCTAAGCGTTCAAACATACAAAAATCTTCATCACAATATCGCCACCACATTGGGGGGGCTGGCAATGCCTCCAGGTATGTTCAGTGGAGCGGAGCACAGCATGAAGGTCCACTTTTTCAGCCGATGACAGGCTTCACCCAAGCTCTCCAGATCCCATAGCTCCCCTATCGGTATGCCAACATGGGGCAGAAGCCATTGGTGAAGCATTGACCCGTCGCTAGGAGGTGGATAACCTGTCGACAGTGTCAGAATTTCCAGTTGTCATGGCTCTGAGCTTCGAGATCTGGGAGGGCCACACATTCCCAACTCACGGCATCACCGGCCACAGCGGCGAACCTGCTGTCCCACAGCCACCTCTGCGTTTCGGTCCCTTGTTGAACTCCGGCAAATCGGAGGGCGTCGAAGGCATCTGATCTGGCCTGTTCTGGCGCTTCACGGTACCACTTTAAGAATCCAGTTCGAATGATCAGGATGTCGCCGTGGGAGAATTGAACACCCTGATGCTCCGCAATTAACTTCATATCCTGCACCGAAAGGCCTAGTATTCCATGTAGCATCAGCCAAATCTCACTGCGAAGTTCCAGAATGCTAGTAGAGTGCAAGCAGATGGTACGCACCTCTTGAAGAAATTGGAGAGAACGGTTCCTTTCCGGTGCTTTCCAGCCAACGAGGCCAGTCAAGTAGCACCCCGCGGCCAACGATACCTTTCTTGCACCAATCTGAATGCATTAGCCGACCGACTAGAGCAAAATAGCCGCTGTCAAAGCTGTAAGTGCTCACAATGTATACTGTGCGACGCGGGATCTTGTATCGTGTTCTGGCCATGCTTCACACCATTGTAATACGAGGCCAAATTCTGGTCGGCGTAGTGCATAAAGCCATCCCACTGAGATCCGCACTGTGTGTTGAAGGTGATGACATCGTCGTGAGCCATTTCACCCGTGACCTTGTGGTAGTCGATGACATTGTGTGTGAGACCTTGACGGCCAAAGGCCGGTTTGCCGATCTCATCGTACGCCCAGTCAAGCTGGAATGATTCACCATGGACGACTTCTCGAGCGGCGGCACAACGAGCCTCCGAGTCTAAATGATTGAGGGCTGAATGTTGGAAATAACGATCAGCGTCGACCCGGTTGGAACGACACGTGCTTGGTGATGAGCAACCGCCACGTACCACCAAGATGGTCCGGTACTCCGTCTCTATTCCATATAGCCCAGGCCGATCGCTTGCCTCCTCTCAAGGGCAGTGAGTCGTATGGTGGATAGTTGATGGCAGCCATTGGTTTATTCAGTCTATACAAGCCAAGCAGAACTTTATGAATTGCCCACGGCCAGCATGCAGATACTTATCCCGTCTTCTCAGCGGTCATTCTGACGAAGATGCCGAGTTGCCGACAATTTCGCTGGCCACGACCAAGCCAATAGAGCGTCGGGTTCACTCTTGTTCACCAGATGACTCCGAATACACAGAAGGTGAAACGGCTAAATCAAGATGAATCTTGAACATATCAAGGGGATGCTCGAGTGTACGGTAACTGTGTCCAAAGCTCGAGAAAAGGTATGTAAGTGTCCATCTTAATTCTCCATGTCCACATATGGGTAAACGTGAGTTAAGAAATACTTTCAGTCTCATTCCCCTTTGTTTTATGCCGGTGCGTCCCAGGTCAGCCCTCCCAGCGTCGAGACCTCTGTAATACTTCAACGATCCTACCCTGCCACCAGCTAAACTACCCTTCTGCAGCTACGTCCTCATCCTGGGCGCCAATCCCTATGACGCTTTCTCCCCTGTTACCTACCCATTCGCCCTCGTGGACTCTTTTGCTCCCGATAATTGGGGAATCGTCATGGTCACGAATGTACCAAGCCATGTCGGCTTGCGGATCCACGTCATCGGGACCGAGTCCATTGCCCAGATATGACCAGCGGTTGCCGTAAATGTAGGTGAAATCCCAGTCCTCATATCGAGGGTTTTCCACTGCCCGTAGATAGTGCAAGGTTGAGCCTGCCCACAAGGCCGAAATCTTGTTGTTATGCTTTAGTTTGTACCAAGAATTGCAGTCCTCGCTCCAGACTGTGGTCTCAAAAAAGATGTCTTTGTGCTCCATGAACTCGTCCGCAGCTTGCATCTTGGGCGCCACCGTCCTTTCGACATGGGTCAGCTTCGTTGTCCCAAGCCTGAAACTGCGTATCCAGGTGATCAACGAACCTGATGTCCTCTGTTTGTATGCGATACAAAAACTTGCAGATATAATCACTCTGAGCTTCAATCGCGCTCAGAACAGGCCCGTTGCCGATGGGACAGTTTGGACCCAGGAAACTGAAGTAATTTGGGAGTTCCGGGACTGCAAGACCCATATAGCCCTTGGGCTCGTCCGCCCATAGATCTCGCAGGTCTTGTCCACCTCTTCCGATGACCGGATACCTTGGTTTGAATGAGGTATCAAAGCCACTAGCGCAGATAATGACGTCCACTGGGAATTCTTGTCCACTGGAAGATCGAACGCCTGTCGGAGTGACAGCCGCCAATGCTTCGTATACTACCTGCGTCTTTGGATGAGTCAAGGCAGCGAGATAACCGACTCCCGGGGTCAGCCGTCGACATCCAAGTGACCACTTGGGTATCAACTTGTCAGCCTGTCCACTCGATGCTAGGATTTCCCTCATTTGATTGGAAAAGATCTTTCTAGACTCTCGAGCTTCTGGGCTGTTTTTCAGGAAAATTCTGAACAGGCCATTGTTTGTCGCTTCAACATGTTTGCGAAGGGCCAAATGAGCATGAGGGTCAGCAGCATACTTGTCCTTCTCCTCTTGAGTGAACGAACGCGGCTCGCTGTTACCAAAGGGTGTTACCACCCAGGCTGGGCTACGAATAAGGTTCACCACCCGTTTAGCCTTGGGTAGGATAGCAGGTAGAATCTGAATTCCGGACGAACTACGGTTGACCCATGGTTAGCCTGAGCGATTGAGGAAGTACAGGAGCTGGTGACCGGTCCCAAGTCGCCAGGCCCAATACCTACCCATTACCAATTAAAGCCACGACCTTGTCTTGGAGATCGATCGACGAGTCCCATTGCGCGCTATGAGCCAGACGTCCACGGAACGTGTCCAAGCCTTCGACATCTGGCCACTTCCACGCATTTAGGACTCCGGTCGCATTAACCAGAACGTCACAAGTTGACTGGGAGCTTGCTCCTGTTTTTATATTCCGGACTGTGACTGTCCATGTCGCGGTGTCCTCGTTCCACTCGCAGCCGATTACTTGATGAGACAGTTTGATATCCTTGTCCAGTTGATATTTGTCGGAAAACGACGTGAAATAACTGGCCAGGGAGTGAGACGCACGCAGATCATACCGCCTGGAGTGAGTGGCTTACCTCCTAATTTCAGCGCTGGTCGAATACGTTGCCGCATAGTCTGTTTTTGGCTCGAATGAGTAGGTATAGTTGTGGGAAAAGTTGTCGCAGGCGCATCTATTATTTCAACTGTTTTAGCAACATAGGAAACCTTGTAAAGATGTTGGTAATCTACAAACCTACCCCGGATAATGATTCTAATGTGACAAAAATCTGTTCAGCCTGATACGGCACAGGACGCCCATAGTGGAGGGGACGCTCACCTCCCACCAAGTACCAGCCACACCTGGGAGTAGTTAGTATATTGATTCTGTGGCCATGCTGACCGGTGATATACCTTCATTCTTCTCAAAAATGACCAACTCAATATTATCAAAGTTCCTCTGGAGTTTGTAAGCCAGCAGCAACCCGGATGCCCCTGCTCCGATTCCGATAATGCGCAGATGCCGGGGCTGCATGCCAGAACGCTTCATATATGCTGGTACCATCGTGGGCCCCAATGTTGGAGAGCCTCGGTGGTCTATCTTTGAGATCATAGGGAGGTCTGAAATCTATCTTGTTGTGTCCCTATAGCGTCCCATCAACGACCTCATAAATCTCAAATAGCTATACGTTCATCTCGTCAGAGCCCCGTGCTGCCAGCATTGGATGCCCGAATTGCCGATCTTATGGTCCGGGCACAAATCGAAGCAAAACGATTGTGCGCTTGGATCGTGCACGCACTTTCGTCAAGTCACTCAAATCTACAAAATCTATCTACAAAGTAACATATTACAACGCTGTGGCTGGGGCCAGGATGTGTCCTATTTGGGACGATGTCAAATTGTTCGATCCAAATCACTGTCCTCCCGTGTGGCTTTTGTAGTGGATGGATGCCACTCGCGGAGCTTCGTCTTCGGCATCTCGGTTATAACGCACGCACATAGTATAGTCACATGGCAGTCTACGTATTGAAAAGGGACTCGTGCAAAAGGAGATGCCTTCGATATACGTTTCCATGCCTAGGATGATAGCTTTATCGACATTAGAATCACAATGTTAGGTAATGTGGACAAAGTGTTCGAGGATGTCACGGGTAGCATCTACGGACTTCCAGGCTTCCAAGTGATGTCCATGGATAGAAAAGGTATGTATGCGGCCAAAGTAGCGTCTGCCCTAATATAACCGCCGTCAGTGTTTAACGTTCTTCAAAGGAGAACCTCTTGTCCAAGGTGCACGCGGTCAACGATTTCTCGGAAAGGATGAATCGGAGGTCGACAGCGAGACTGTATTCTGGGTTGCCTCTTGCACCAAAATAGTGGTAGCTATTGCTCTTCTGCAATGTGTGGAACGAGGACTGGTGACCCTAGACACCATACCCACGGATCTACTACCGGAGCTGTCCAGACTACAAGTCCTCAGAGGGTGGACAGAGAAGAACGAACCCATTCTCGAAGATCCTCAGAGGCTCCCCACGGTCAGGGAGCTCCTCAGCCATCAGAGCGGCATAAGCGTCGACATTTCAGAGCCCATGCTCTTAAAATGGAACGAGTACCAAGGGCGAAAGACGACTTCTCAGAGTGGAGCAATTGCAAGAACCCCAAATCTGATAAATCGCTATTCCTAACGATGATACGCAGGAAGATCTCATTTATCCAATGATGTTTTCTCCCAGGGATGGGTGGGCATACAGTACTGGGATGGATTGGGTCGGCCACCTCGTGCGTATTCAGACACTCGGAGAATAATTTGATTGCATCTTGTCCTAACATGCCACTAGATATCGAGATTGAACGGAAATATAAGTTTGGGAGACTATTTCGAGAAATACATCTTTGGACCTCTGGGTTTACAGAATACAACGTTTGAGCCCCTCGAAGACCCAAAATTCAGAGACCGACTCACTGCTACGCACTTGAGACAGCCGGAGGGCTCGTTGAAGGTGGCTGATGTGAATGCAGGCGCACAATACGCCAAGTCAGGTCATCACAACGGAGGCGGAGGCCTTTGGAGCACGGCTAGTGATCTCTGTCAGCTTCTTCGTGGGGTGTTCTTGGATGAACATCACTCGGGACTATTAACCCATGCCAGCGTCCGCGAAATTTATAGGCCATGCCTGGATCACCCAGAGTACCTGGGGCAGAGAGTTGAGAAAATGAAGCAAGAAAAGCCTATGCACATCAACATTCTACCACAAATTCCGACCGACGTCCCCAAAAGCTTCGGTCTCGGAGTGGCCATCAACCTTGCCGATCTGGACACTGGCCTGAGTGCAGGCAGCTTTCAATGGAGTGGATTCCCCAATTGTTACTGGGCAAGTCATGGAAAATGCAACAGTCTACAGTGGAATCGGCGCTGACTATCTTTTCTTTTAGTGGGTTGATGTAAACAAGGGCGTAGCCGGAGTTTTGGTTGCGTCGGTGCTCCCTTTTGCGGACCCAAAAACACTCGAAGCACTAGAGCGGTTTCAGAGGTTGACTTATGCAGCCCTTCAACAAGGATAATGGTCCATAGCGGGTAACACTACTATGTGTACACGGTTCAAATTACGACCTGCTGTAGAGCATTGGACTCGTTGGCATTGTCGTTCTAGACTGCTCATAATTTGGCTTGTGCTTATCACCTCTGTGGCACCATTGCACCAGATTTGATTCAATCACTACCTGGTAACCATTGGTGACGGCTTTTCGGCGCTGTTGTTGTTGTTCTCGTAGTGGATGGATCGATGCACCACCAGTTGATTTCCGCCATTCCTTGGCCTTATCTGCTCCTGTGGTGGTACAGGACTCGGAAGCATGGGATCTGACTGGTGTGAAAGATTGAAATCATGCGGGAGATGCCTTTGCTCTGCAGTAATAGTACAAAGGCTCCAATGAATGAAATACTTGTTATTGCTAAAGAGAATGCCATCTCAACGTACGAACGAACTGTTCGCAAAAAGGAACTTAACTATACACTACTTGGCGGCTGTTGATTCCCGGAGTCTCTTGAAGTCTTCTGCCATCGAGTCGCATACTTCCTCCATAACCTTCCGTTGTGCAGCATCTGGATACTCTGGAGGGTCACGATAGAACAGCTGATTGACGCTAGCTTCACAGGTGGCACCATTTCGTCGGCTGTCGATCATATCGTTGACTGCCGTCACAATGTGTGACACCGGGGTTATGGTATCCTTATCCTGCCGTTCGATGATTGATTGAGGCATAATGGGTGTAGGTACCAGACCAGGTACCAATGCACATGACCTGATTCTGCTGTTTTTGTAACGCCACGCTACACTTCGAGCGAGGCCAATGATGCCGTGCTTAGCCGCTCCATAGAGGGGTTGTACTCCAGCAGGATATAGGCCGGCACCGCTGGATGTAAGAACAAGCAGGCAATCCTTCACCGCAGGTGGGTTGCGATGGAAAGCATGTAAGGCGAGAATGGTGGTGTAACTTGCGCCATAGAGATTTATGTCGAGCACCTCTAGATTTGGAGGCTTCGTTGGGTCAATGGTTGTGTTTTCCAAATCGAAATGGTCCACCGTGTCAGACCTGCCAGCATTTCCGAAAACTGTACGAGTCCGTTTAGTAGCTTGGCCTTTTTTTCTTGACATGAGGTCCTCAGAAAGGAGGAGGGGGGGGGGGGGGGTAAAGACGCACCAAAGTCTACTCGGCCATACTCTTTGATCACCGCGGCAAAGGCCTCATATTGCTGCTTCCAAGACCTCACGTCGACAAGATAGAAATCGGCGTTGATCTCTGCTGCGGCAGCTTTCCCCTGTTGCTCGTTGTAGTCGAGAATAGCGACCTTCCAGCCTTTTCTACTAAGATCTACCGCAACTCCATGGCCCATTCCGGTGGCTATTCAATCTCAATGTAAGTGGCTGATCGTATCAAAGTTCCCAAAGGGTTCCTCACCTGCACCCGTAAGGATGGCTACCCTCTGCTGCTCGGCAGAGCCCATGATGGCCAATGTGATATGTATACGAGGACAATTTAGCGTCGTGGTCTCAAAACCAGTGGGAAGAGCACTTGGTCAGGAGATATGGTAGTCGTCTGACGGCTTTAATAGTGAGCATGAGCATCCGAATAACCATGAGGGTGTACTGGAGAAATCCTAGGCCTGGTATACGGTTCAATACTCCCACATGGGACTAAATCGTCCCCCGGCGATTTTGGATGCTCAGAAGCCGACTTACCGAGCTGGTTTCAACCCATCCGTCTCCAGTGAAGTTCAGACCGAATTCCCGCGTCAACATGCAACTGGTGACAATGTATCACTCTGTCGTCGAGATAATTATCAATCTCGTCAAGGGAGAACTGATCAGGTCGCCACATGCACCAAGATGCCTTTCGCCAAGGATACAACGGCTCATAGTGCACAACTCGAATATGACATCGACGACCTCTACCACTCACAATATGTGTTGGCAGCGGTATATCAGGCATGTGCCTGGCCTTCACCATCATGAAAAGGCTGAAGTCGTATGAACTTACAATCTACGAAAAGAACAAAGATGTTGGCGGGACGTAAGTCTAGTCTGAGGCTGGTGCTCTAGTGGAATCAGCCATTCATGATACCGACATTCATGCCCTGAACGAATGAATTGCGACCACCCGAACTAACGCCCATCTACCACAGGTGGTTTGAGAATCGCTACCCGGGATGTGCCTGTGATATCCCAGCACATTTATATAGTAAGTGTCTCGGCGTTGCGAAAAGTGCCCGGATTAAGATATGCCAGCTCTATCATGGGATCCAAAGTACGACTGGAGCAAGTACTACGCTGATTCTGCAGAGATACACCAATACTGTCGAAGTGAGTTACCTTCTTCTAGCAACAAGAGTATATATCACGAAGCTGAGCACCGTGCAAGATTTCTATGAAAGGTATAATATTGACCAGTTCACAAAACTGGAGCACAAAGTCAAACGAGCTGTCTGGGATGATGCAACGGGACAGTGGCGAGTTTCTATCGAGGATCTCGCTACTGGAAACACGTTCCAGGATACAGGCGACATTCTTGTGAATGCCACAGGGTTTCTGAACAAGTGGACCTGGCCACATATTGAAGGTATCGACAAATTTCGCAGGCCGAAGGTTCATTCGGCAGCGTGGGATGACTCGATCAACTTCCACAACAAGACCATCGGCGTCATCGGCTCTGGCTCAAGCGCAATTCAGGTAACTTTCTCCTTCCTGGTCGTAGGTGTTCATCAGTTAACGCAGCCTAGATTGTTCCTCAAATGCAGAAAGGTAGTGTACTCTCCGAAAGTGCTCAAGAGCTATTGACTGAACCCGCAGCAGTGGCCAAAGACCTGAAAGTTTTCATGCGTTCGCCAACCTGGATCACACCCGCCATCGGCGGCCAAACATCTTCCCAGTTCCAGGGCGACGACAACCCCGGTCACCAGCAATTCACCTTTACCGAAGAACAAAAGGAAAGATTCCGGTCTGATCCCGAATACCATCTACAATTTAGAAGGAAGATCGAGGCCGAAGTCAACTGGATGGCGGATGTGTTTAAGATGGGCAGTAAAATGCAGCAAGACGTGCAAAAGATGATGACACAGCAGATGAAGGCCCGCATTGGACCTGGCCATGACGAACTTGTTGCAAAGTTGATTCCGCAATGGCCCCCGGGGTGTAGACGTCTTACTCCCGGAGACAGATACTTAGAGTCGTTAGTGGAGTCGAACGTCGAGCCAGTCTTTGGAGACATTCTCAGGCTTGATGATACGGCAGTCGTGATGATGGATGGCACGAGACACGAGGTTGATGTCTTGGTGAGTAATATCCTCTCCTTTGGGGCACGTAATAACTCGTTATCCCCCTGGCTAACCCGAAACAGGTGTGTGCGACAGGATTTGATGTCTCCTTTGTTCCGTCGTTTGAAATATTGGGCCGAGACGGACTCAATATCAAGGAAGCCTGGAAAGACATTCCAGACGCTTACCTTGGTCTTGCGGCCCCGAACTTTCCCAACTACTTCATTATTTGTGGACCTCAAGGCCCTCTCGGAAATGGATCCATCTTACCTGCTGTGTGTCTAACCGTAATTGTCATGGTCGAAGTTCACTAGCTGACCTCTGTGTGTAGATTGAGGTAATTTGCGACTATATCAGTACGGTTGCGCTGAAGATGCAGGCTGAGAGGATCAAGTCACTCGAGCCAAAGCGAATCGCCACGGATCAGTTCCAAGAACACATGCACAAGTTCCATAAGAAGTCTGTTTGGGGCCAACCCTGCAGGTACGTGAACGCGGTCTGAGTCCCTCTCGCACAAGTAACTGACAGGGGCAACCGAACAGGTCTTGGTACAAGAATGGCAAAATGGATGGAGCGCCACAGCTGTGGTGCGGTACGGCCTTATCATACATCAAAACTATTCGAAACCCACGATTCGAAGACTTTGATATAGAATATGAAAGCCCCAATCGTTGGGCGTTTCTGGGAAACGGTAAGATCCAGGCACACAACGGTCTCAGCGATGGAACGCCCGATATTCAAGGACTGGCTCCGTATATTAGGAATGCCGACACCCCTTGGGAGATTTAACCATGTCCCTTTCACGCAAATGTCACAGGTGGAATGGGAGAAGATTGAGAGACGCTTGGTTCCCCAAGAGGCTAAAGGGCAAGCTCTTCGTAAGATAGTCAATGTAACTTTTGCCCTTGCGGATAAGACTCTGAGTTGTTGATTCGACGTGTCACTCTGGCATTATATAGGTCTCTATCAGCCTCCCGTGAACACGAAATTGGGCCGGTATGCCGACAAAGTAGCGGCATTCCGGGCTTGCCCAATGCGATGACAGTGACTTGAATATCTTTGAGCAGTGCTCTGCTCCTCTTAGTGCAGAGGTTAGATAGCGAGGGACATGATGGACCTCGATTACCCGAATCCTGATCGGCCGTACACTTGTATGCGTTGTGAGGCCACTGTCCCAGCGGTTTCGCAACCTGATCATGATCTCCTCTGTCCGTTCTCCGATCCACTCAAGTATCCTAGCGAGAAAAAAAACCCGACTCCCACCTACCAGGTATCTTTCCCATGAACAATGGTGCGAAGATCCAAAACTCATGCATGGCAGCCTCACGGCCGGGCATCTCCACCGTGGACAAGCCAAACAAGCCCCTGTGTGCCGGGCGAAAAGCCTAGCCATTCCTTCCCCAGACGATCGATCATCCCAGCGCACTTAAAATTGCTTTTCCGAAATGGGAGAATGCCACAAGTTGGCAGACTTCGACTGACGAGGCAATATTTTCTCGATTTCCATCCTCAACTCCCGTTCCTGACAGGGGTGACTGATGCGACCGTTTTCAACTCACAGATTGACCAGCTTCAACCGGTACACCGAGCTCGTGATTTGGCTATTGTATTTGTTGGTTTTGGTGTAAATTATAGTCCAAATCCATAGATCCTGTGCTCACTTATGACCAGTATCTTCGCGAGGATCAACTGCCACTCACGCCTTTCGGTTCCATTCACGAATGGCAAGAGGAGATATTTGACGCTGCTCGGGGAAGTCTTCTTAGCCGTGCCTGGGTACTGGAGTGATTGATACGAGAGATCCACACAGCTCGCTTACTGGCAATGTTCGAGCGCGCATCCGAATGCGCTGGCCGAAATATGCCTCCTTCTGAGCTATTGGGGCCCATATAGCTGGGAGCATGAGATCAACGAGAACTGGGCCGATCGTGCGTTAGGACATGCTCTCGCAGCCATCGAGTCTCAAGCCGACGACGACGAATATACAAGAACGAGGTATCGACTAGTAAGACAGTGTTGTCTCATGCGCCGGCGCATGCTTTCCGTGTATACAGAATCCACCTCGGCCATTCTGTATATCCCTGGGCCCTCTGACAGCACCGGCTTGCCCAATCTAACGGAAGCGATTGAGTTTCCGGACTACATTAGACCAGAGAGCGGCATCCTGACGCGCTCAGCGTTTGTCATGACCTGTACGCTTACAGAAATCATGGCTCGGATACTTACCATGCGTGACCAGAAGCTGGCGCCGTTCCGCTATGTCACTGTTATTGACATCCGAGACGCCATTCACAAATGGGACCATGACTTTGCCATACTCTTGGAGTCTGCCGATGCTATCTTGGAGCCGCATATGAGTCTTGTTTTCAACGCGCTCCGTCTGCTTCGGAAGTAAGTCTATGTCACGTCGATGAAGTCTTTACTGACATTGCTTGAAGTACTCTGGTCATTCAGTTGTACCAGCTCGATTGGCGCCATAATTTGTCGTGGGACTGGCTGGGAAGCGGTCGGGAGCTCGTGGCGATATTAGAGACCGAAGAAGCGGCTCGGAACATCGCAGATCTCGCTCAAACACTCCTATGTCATCCAAACAAAGAGTCGATTCCACTGACCATGTAAGAGTCAAGACAGAGCCTCTATCACTCGCTGCAAAACTCCCAGACTAACTTATTTGTCTCAGTGCCAGCTACCTCCCGCTGCCGATATCTGTATTCCTGTCCGAGATCCACATCGAGGGTCTTGGGCAGGCGGAGGCTGACACGCAGCGTTTGGGCAATTTATTGCGGATATTACATTTACTTCAACGACGTTACAGTGGGGCGCAGTTTGTCACTTGGTGCATCAGTACCATGATGACTTCCTTTCCCCTTCAGCTAGATGGTACCTTCAAGATGCACCAGCACCCAAGCCTAATATCACTGTCCGTGCGCCAGAGCAACAAGCACAGGCCGGAATCCTCCTGCGGATCAGAAGAGGTCTCCTCACCAGGCGGCGACATGTGCCAATTTCTTCTGGACAGGAACGAAGCCGTGTCCATGAGAGCGCAAATGTCTATCATTTACTGGGCGGGTCGGTTTGTGCAGAAATGCTACCGGAGCCGATCTGTCGCTCTACTTGGGGATTGTACATAGGTTTATAGGGACCCTTTCTTTAGTATTCGTTTACATGATCCAACCGCTACCAAGGTGTAGACTTAGTTAACGGTAGTTTCGTACTCAATTGAGTGAGTCGTCCAGAGGTTTCAAACCTAGTATCTTTGAACACATGTCAAAACGGAAGCAAGCAGCTCTGGTTCGGTGCATAGGCCGGTATGGATGAGCGTGAATACAACCATTTCAAGTGTTGTTTTTAGCACTCACTAGAAGCTCTGTCGCTAGTGGTTATTGCACCACACATTTTCAAAGACTACAGATGAGCTCAATTACCCACTCTTAGGGGTGATATTTCCACATTGTTCCCAAGAAACCTTGGCAGTCACAGCCATCACGGCTGTAAGTGAAAGGCCAGAGACGGAATAAACTTGATTACTTGTCTGCCACCGCGGTCAAGCCTCCGTCCACTTTGATATCGGCACAGTTGATGAAGCTGCTTTCCCCACTCAGCAAGAAGCTGACGACGTTGGCCTGCTCTTCGCATGAACTCGGTCGGTGGAGGGGACAGCGGTTGCTCCAGCCTGAAGCCTGCTCAGCAAACCGAGGGTCGTTCTCAAAGGTTTTTGACCAGCTGAAGAACTCGGGGGTGTGGACGGTCCCCGGAGAGATCGAGTTGCAACGTATTCCAAACTTCCCATAGAACAAACCGCCGGTCTTGGTTATGCCGATGACGGCATGTTTTGCAGCCGTATATGAGGGCATACCGATGGCCACATGGCCACAGATTGAGGCGATGTTGACGATTGCACCTCGTTGTTCGACGGCTCCAAACGCTGCCGACGACCCGTGAGCTATGCGAAGAGGTTGCTTCCGCATCGCTGCCGCCTCGTACTTCTGGCACAGCCAGACACCTCGCTGGTCTAATTCGTAGAGCCGATCGAAATCCGCGCCTGTCATGTGGTCTTCATGGTCTTCCAGAAGCTCGCCGGTGCCGGCATTGTTGGCCGCCCAATCCAGGCGACCCCACCGCTGTATTGCCGCGTCCACCATGCCTTTGATGTCGTCTTCTTTGGTCATATCAGCATGATGGTATACGACCTCGACTTTGAACTCTTCTGCCAGTGTGCGCGCCGTTTCTCTCCCGAGCTCATCGCGGATGTCGGCGATCAGGACATTGATTCCGCGCAAGGCCAACCTTCGTACAATCGCCAGACCAATACCTCGAGCGCCTCCGGTTACAATCGCACACTCTTTGTCCGTTGCCATGATGCGTTGATGCACGTTTGATTGTTTGTATAAATACGATGACCCTCATGCGCTGCAGATATATAACACACCCTACCACCAACGTGAACCAACTTGAACCAACTTGGACGGATGTTCGGCAATTCGCCCAAACCATCGAGCTCTATGATGCTCCGCGTTCTCAACATGCATGTCTCGTCCAGCATGGTGAACAGCTGCATATCCCAGTACCAAAATCTTGCTGCAATACCAGAGCCGACATGGCTCAGCACAGTGAATGCTATACTAATCACTTGTCCTTGGACACGCAGACCCATATCATCCAGAAAGGACATCCGACGTCCTGATTTCGCCATGATTGGCAGGTGATATCGACCAATTCCATCCTCCTGGTATTCTGCATCAACCCAATTAGCAAGAAGCTATTCCCGACTGTAATGGTGTTCTACGTAGCTATAGCGTATGCTACACCAGATCCGGTGTGAGATCAGGCTGTTGCATTCGCTGATGCTCTTGGTCAGAACGGATAAGTCCTTTCCAGCCCATACTCGTCCACGCTCAACAATAATTAAGACCTTCGCTTTAGCAAGGCTCAAGAATGTCCTTGTCGTTCTGTATGGGTTTCATTTGATGCATATCATACTGGAATCTGACGCAGTACACGAGCATATGCTCGACAGTCTTGGGTGGATATTGCAGCAGTGATGACTCTATAGATGTTTCGTCAATTGCGAGCAACGTTCAACCTTTGCGTCTTTCGGTGACACGTCACACGAACAGCCCAATGATCGATAAGTGCGATTTCAAATATCCTCTAGAGACCTTGGAACGAGAGCTTATCATGAATGACCTAATTACTACGATGCGATATTTCGTAGCTACCCCAGGATATTCATCGTTTCTCACAAGGGCCCTTGAACGGAGCGCCGAGGCCCAATTCAGTCTCCGCATCGCTTTCGGGGTCACATGTACGCGACCGGAGCCTGGGAACAGTTCACTATGAGTTCCGCGGTCCAGGTGCGCTAGGTGTCGGCACTGCTTTGCTCCTTTTGGAATTCAGATAGCCGAGGGCATCTTTGTCCCGAGAGCCGTCGCCATGCCCACCCGCAGCGATACACTCTTTAACCCACACCTTGCGGATGACTTGGATTCGCCCCATGGTCGTGTTTTGCACAGCTTGAGCAAGTTAGATAGATTAAATGGCTTGTGCAGGTCTTCCGTTCGCCGCTGGCGCATCTCTGGGCCTCGTCCTCGCGATTCCCCTCAGAAAGTCCGCCCCAGAAGCCACTCCTCGGGCACCACGTCGGCGTCACGAATCCTTCTGCCATGCAACATCTCAGGAGGATCGAAGGGCTTGCGATCTTGACCTTGAAGAGCTACACCCACTTCTCTGTTCGCAATTGGAAGCAAACCATCAAAGCGACTACGGATCGTCCAACATTCATAGCAGCCTATGTGGACCGAAGATGGTGTTGTCCGGGCCATACGGGAGACGAGTCGCAGGGGTCAAGGGCTGGCATTATCTGAGACAGAAAGTCCAAGCCACAAGACTGTGAAGAAGTAATCAGGAGGTCGATCTGAATATTGATATTGTCTCTTACCGAAGTATCAGTGGTAAGAAGACGGCAAGAAGGACAAGCTTTTCTGACCAGGAGCCAAGGCCGGCAAATATGAAAGGGCAGACCCACACTATCAAGATTGCCTGCCAAGTTGCTTGTAGCTGTCAAATTTGTTTCATTTGAAGGTCTACCCCTAGGTGGAATTTATCTTGTACTTTATCGACGAGAGCAATTCACCCCGTGAGGCTCAGAGTGGAAGACCCTCCTAGTTTTCGCGAGATTTTCTAGTCTATGGTCAAATTCACAGCACAAGCCACCAAGTAGCTCCTAACATATCATAGTCAGAGGCATGTATGTAGCCTGGCAGCCTCGCCTCAGCGAAGCTACATCCACTCGAAATGTGTTTGATTGGCTGTATTCAGGTGGGTTCCCAGGCAGACAAGGTACGCTAGCCAGATTAGGTATGCATTTCTCCATTTTTCCGGTGGAATTGGCTGCTTGTTTGTATGTACCCGACAGGCCCCCGCATTCCCCCACGGTGGCGTAAAATTGGAAGTAACCCGAGGATAACTCGAACTATCGACATTGTAATGTCCCTCTCTTGAAAAAGAGGTCTAAAGATTGATAGCTTTCCGAGTTTGAGACTTCGAATGCCAACCTGACCGTCATGCATCCAGGAGAATCACCACCGACGACCTCATCACCGTTGTCGACTTCGGATCAACAGAGAACTGGCTCACACAGGCCGACCACAGAGGCGACCGGGGTACGATCGCGCTCGAACAAAGCAATTATTCACCGTCGAGCGACCCAGGCATGCCTTCGCTGCCGCTCGCGCAAGGTCAGATGTGATGTTACCCACAAGGCAGGCTACTGCACCAACTGTCTGCTGGATGGGGCAGAATGCCGAGTCATCAAGTGCAGGCGGCGCGGTCACAGAACCAGCGACCGCCATGCCCTGCATGCTTCACTGGCTCCTGGATCAAATCATCGACATGCGAAGATCGGAGAAGGAGTATTCATGATCGAACGCCTCCCGGATACACCTGAAGAGGTACGGCACTCGGCCAATGATTGGGAAGAACGAGACAGTGTTCAACCAGATCCAGCTCTCAACTGCTTGCAACAGCCTATCGTGGGTCAAGGGGATGCTGCACCCAAGGCTCCAGTGTCTCACGGCTTTCTACTGTCTTTGACAGAGCAGCCGGATCTTCCGATCACGAATGACACTGCTGGTCAAGATGAAAGCACGGTCGATAGAGACGATGGTCTGCTTTCAGCTCCGTCTACGCCACCGCCCCTCCATCAGGGGGGTTCAGGCTGGCACACAGCCTTGCCGGACTTTATAGAGGCATTCCCTGTGCGCACTCCCAACGACCTAGAATTCTTGCGGCAGAAGTCGGTATTTGTCTTGCCGCCACCGCAGCTTCAACACGTGATCATGGACAGATTCGCCGAGTTTGTGCATCCGCTTCTGCCCGTCATAGATCTCCCGGCGTTTCGAGGCGCAATACTAGGGGAGAAGCCCGGACAGAGAGTGTCGCTGCTCCTTTTTCATGCCGTCATGTTCGCTGGCGTGGGAGCCGTTGAGAATGAGATTATTCTCCGGCAAGCGTACATGAGCAAGACCACGGCCAGACAGACGTTCTATGAAAAGGCAAAGGTGAGGCCACCAAACATGCCACCTTGTTGCAGAGTCTGACCTGTGAACCAGACACTCTTTGAGTTGGAGACGGAGAAGGATCGCATCACCATCTGTCAAGCATCGCTCTTTCTCATCGGATGGGCCAGCAGGAGTAACCTGAAGGACGCCACATATTGGCTCGGAACTGCCATTTCTCAGGCCCATATTCTGAAATTACACCGAGCAGAACATGTCAGTCCATTGAAATCATCCAAGCCCCAGCGGAAGCGGAATCTTCGCCGGATACTGTGGTGGAGTATTCTCATGAAAGAATGCGACCTGTGCATGTCCATAGGTCAGCCACCACGCGTGTGGCCATTCGGTACACCCATGTTGACCATGAGCGATTTTGGTTTGGAGGACACAGGAGCCCTCGGGGTTGAAAGTGTGGTTCCTCAATCCCATCAATCCCAACAAAGACTCGATGCGCTTTCCCCAGCGCTCGCAACAGTCTGTATCTTGAAGGCGAAGCTCTGCTGGCATATCTATCGGATCATGCGCAACATCCATGAGGATCTTTCTCCTTGGGATGGTCAGCAATGCGCCAACCCCTTGCCATTTTTGAGACAGTACATGGTCCAAGAACTCTACCGCTGGCGGTCAGACGTTCCCATCGAGCTCAACAGCAAGAATCTGCTTCGAGACAGTCTGGGCAGCACTCCCCGCAGTGTCACATGGGCCGTATGTGCGGTGGAGCTGATATACTGCGCTGCACATTTTCTCGTCCATCGGGACGGTATGCTGGTGGATGATATCTCAGAGCACATTAGCCCAGACTCCGTCACTGACCGCTGTCCACCCACCGACTACAGCCGGTGTTTTCTGCGACAGGCGGCAAACGAAACAGCTGAGATCCTGGAAGGTGTTATTGACTGCGGACTGGCGATGTTCCTACCTCCCTCTGCCCTGATCAATATCTGCCTAGCCGCCTCAACCTTCTTCCGCGATGCCAACAGTAGCGACGCAAGCGCCCGCAAGACCAACCTCCACAAGTTGGATATGTGCATCAAAGTCTCAAACATGCTTGCCGACATGGCTCCGAGCATGCGGGAGGTTGTAACCAAAATGCAGGACGCGAGATCGGGGTTTCAAACTCGGCCATCTCGCTCAGGGCCGGCATTGAACTCCGGCTATGCACAGCCTTCGAATTTGTCACTGACGAGCGCTCAGTTGGAGGACAGGTGTGGGATAGACCATCAATCGTTATCAGGGAGCACGATGGAGATCAACAACACTGGGGTAGAGGATCGCAATGCTTCCAGTGGCTACCCAGCCCCAGTTTCATACGAATGGAACTTGGAGGAAGATTTTGGTTTTGCGGGACATGCTTTAATAGATTTTGATCTCAATGGCTACACATGGGCATAGATTTTGCTGCTGTTAGCATTATCGAACTGACACCTAGATGGGATGAGGGACTAATTTCGAGCGGCCAAGATGGACATGAACATAATAACATATATATTGTTCTTCCACGGCATCTCTCCTGTCAGACTGAGCACTGATATAAACTGGGAAGCATTTCCTTGGCCAACGTACCGAGCCTCGAGACCAAATCCTCCAAATTCGTGTCTCGGTAGATCCGAAACCCTCCAGAATAGATCCCATTCGGCCCGAGGTCGAAGCTGGCTGTTTGGGTATCACCAGGGGATCGACTTGTCTCCCCCAGAAAGCGGGGAATACAAGAATGAGGAATCCCATATGGGTAGGGGGGGAATCTCCCTGGATTTTGGAGGCTCACCGGGACAAAGAAAGGAATCGCCACAAGTGAACAGGTGACAAGACTGTGTGGTCGACTACGGACGATGACGGACCTGAATATCACGGACGCCGATATAGGTGAGTAAATACCCTTTCTTCACTTCGCCGTGAGGGGGGATCAGTCTATTGTCGATCCGCAGTGCTATCATGTCCACACAGCTAACACGAGATGTCGAAACAAAACAAAAGGCGACAAGCTTCGCGGGAAGACGGCCGTTGTCACGGGTGGTTCTTCGGGGATTGGACTCAGCATCGTCCAGAAACTGGTCGCGTCGGGTGTCAAGGTCTTGGTCGGGGATGTGCAACCTCTGAGAGAAGCCGTGGCGGGCGTGGGGTTCATGCAGACCGACACGAGCCGGTGGGAGGACCTGCTGGTGCTGTTCAAGCGCGCGGTCAGCGACTGGGGCCGGATCGACATTGTGATCCCCAACGCCGGAATCGGCGACAAGGGCGACTTCTTCGACACGGTCGACGAGCACGGCGACCCGGTCAAGCCGGGCTTCGAGTGCCTGCACGTCACGCTCATCGGGCAGATGTACACGGTCAAGCTGGCGATGCACTACATGCGGCGGCAGCAGCAGCCGCAGGGGGGCGTGATCGTGTCGACCGTGTCGCGGGCCGGGTACGTCGCCGAGAGCATACCCACGTATGGAGTGGCCAAGCACGGAATGGTAGGGCTGCAGCGGGCGCTGCGCCCGCTCACGGCGACGTGGAACATTCGCATCAACAGCATCGCGCCGGGCATCACCGACACGCCCGCCCTGCGGACCCTGCCGGACCTGGTGCCCAAGCTGTGGAACAGCGGCGTCATCCCCATGAACACCAGCGACGAGTGTGCCCTGGCGGCGGTATATCTGTGCGCCAACGACGACTACAACGGCAGCACCATCTTCATCAACGGCGGCAAGTACCGAGAGGTCGAGAGCGGGTACCAGCGCCATCTGAAGGACATCATGGGCAATGATCCGCGCTTGAGCATGACGCCGGAAGAGAAGAAGATTCTAGGTGAGTCTTTTTGCATTTCTATCGCGTTTCGCTGAGTATTCCCGGAAGCCGTGTGTGTGAGTGTTGCTGACACTCGAGGGCAAAAAGAGGACATCTTTACACCGAGTAGTAAGTATTGAGCCCGAAGCCACAGACAGGAGAAGCAGAGAAATACCGAAAAGGCACCCGACCTTACGTTTTGAGTCTCCCAAAAGTTTTAGTCAGGCTGTGGGTGGCTATAATATGGTTCGGGGGTACTATATCGTTTCGGACGGAATCCTGACCAAAAGGCCTCTGATCGGTTGCCGAGGGTGTCTACTCGTCTGTGTTAAAAAGATGTCGAACATGAATCCGGAGTCTCGAAATGTGTGACGTTTCTGCCTTGAGAGTTATTGCCCGACCTAGCGAGGCTATGCGTATCGAACTATTACTTGTTGGTGACCAATGTATGCCGGTGGGAAAGGAACCAGGCTAGCCGGATTTGTCCACTCCAACATTTATCACCAACTGCTCCACACTCAACTAGGCGTTTATGTTTTTCAATAGACAAGACGAGAAACTCCACCACCAGGCTCGACTTGGGATATGTGGAGAATAACGGCAGGATGTACACCGACGTCAGATGCTCCGTAACTCGTAAATTGGGAAACAGGGTAAACCTTGAATCCTCTGGGGTCACCGAAACCTCGGGCACGCTGGGTTGTTGTATTGCTTCGAGTAACTCCGTTATATATATTCCCCATGAGATAGATGTATTGTGACAACAACACTGAGAGAATTGAGACTGAGTCTCATCAGACAGTTACATTGTGTCCACTTTGGCTGTGTCAATAACCCAGGTAGATCTACTGTAGAGTCGTGTGTCTTCTCAAATGCTGCTGCTGAGATGCTTCAGTCAGCCAACAGATCGATATATACCCCTCGTCCTCGTATCGGAGATCTCCTCAGTTTCCTTGGTAAAAATGCTTGAGTCGATCGACAACCAAGTCAACCTGGGGTTGAGCAGGCCATGGCAGACCAATGACTTTGCGTGGGGCAAGTCGACATCATACCAGGCTCGGATTGCGTGATCGCGGGTTCTGGATACCTTCTGGCAACTACATACAGTACATCATGGAGAGGAATAACGGTGACAATAATATCACGCTCGCCGAATCTGGGGTGGTGAAATATATGTTCATGAGAGAAAAGCTCCGTACGAGGGACTTGAAACTTTTAAACCCGCGAAATCATGCCATCCGCCGTAATCGCAAACGACCCGGCGCCGGCGCCACCGCTCCGGAAGTGGCAGCGCCCTGCCAAGACCGCGTTCCAGCTGCCCTGGGCGGATATCCAAGTCATTGACCTGTCAAGGTACGATGAGCCGGGCGAGAAGCAACGGCTCGCGGAACAGTTGAGGAAGGCTGTAAGTTTGGACTCCCGGTTTTCCAACGACTCTTAATCGTGTGTGATGTATAATGTATGTAGGTGCACGAGACGGGCTTCTTCAGCGTGACGGGCACGGGACTCAGCGAGGAAGAGGTCCAACGACAATATAACATTGGACAGGCTTTTTTCGATCTTCCCGCTGAAGAAAAGGACAAGCCCGAATACAAGTGTGATTTCTCCGTGGGGAACTATTTCGGGTACCGTGCTGTATGGTGAACAGTCCATCCATCCACATTGACTAGAGCTAAACGACTCCTTCAGCCATATGAGAAGAAGATCATGTCCACCGAGGTCAAAGACATTGTCGAGTCGTTCAACCTGGCGAAATTCATCCCCCAATACGCCAACGAAGCGCGGCATCCGTTCTTCGACACGTACAGAACGGAGATTGAGGACTTTTCTCGCGTGAGCCAGGCCTAAAGAACCTGCAGTGGATGTAAGGACTTCTGACACGTCTCACCCTTAGAAAGCATTGAGCATCGCCAGCAAGATCTTCACCCTCTTCTCCATCATTCTTGAATTGCCCGAAGACTATTTCTCGTCCAAGCACCAATACGACTCACCCAGCGAAGACCACCTGAGGTACATGACCTACCATCCCCGGTCCGTCGAGGAAGACGCCCTGGTCGAGAACACGTGGAGTCGCGCCCACACGGACTTTGGGTCCCTGACGCTGCTCTGGAGCCAGAACGTCGCGGGCTTGCAGATCAAGACGCAGTCTGGGGAGTGGAAGTACGTGCCGCCGGTGGACAACGGCATCATCTGTAACGTGGGCGACACACTCGACTTCTGGTCTGCCGGGTACTTCAAGTCCACCACGCACAGAGTGGTTCGACCCCCGCCCGACCAGACGCACGTTGACCGATTAGGCCTGTTCTACTTTGTCAGGCCTGGGGACAATGTCGACATCAAGCCCGTCGCGTCGCCTTTGCTCAAGCGAATGGGTCTAGTAAGGGAGGACCAGGAGGACGCCGCGCCGATTACGGGTCTGCAATATGTCAGAGAAAGGGTCAAGAATTATCACAACCACACGGACTATGCCGACATGCGCGGGAAGAAGTTTAAGATTGGAAACCTAGAAATCGAGGATGAGGCGGCTTAGAGCTGGGACTTGTAAATGATGGGCCTGCTCGATATACCAGGGCCGTGTAGTCTTGTTATCACACTGCTCGGTACAAGGTGGATGGATATGGCCCAAATGCCACAGTGCGCTGGTCCAACACTTTCGAGAACACTTTCGAGACCATTTGCGCAATGCGGCGGCTGAGGGAAAATTGGGTGCTACTGCGTTCCAAGGAGATGAGGGTCCATGAGGCGAGTCAAAGTCAAGTATAGCCATAGCACCAGCAGACCGAGAGATCCAACAGCGTACAGCTTGCCCTGAATATGTGTAAAGTATTTTCTGGGGGTGGTCTGTTCTCTAGTGTTGGGAGCTCTTGACTGTACAATCTCGCCAAGTCTTTCATTCTTGTCACTTCGCATGCGCCCGTTTGCCATTGTGAACCTGTCCACGCAGGTACAGGAACTCTCGCGTGAACGATCCTGGGTTCATCTTATCATGTATTGACCAGCAGATCCTCCTCTTGTTGACAAACAGACTCGTTCCACGATCGTCCGATGCTTTTGTACCGAAGGAGGTTTATCGGTCCTCGCTGTAACTTGGCTAGGGCACGCCGACGGTCAAGCAGACAGCTCGGCGAGTGCAATGGAGGTGCTGTGTCGAGGCATTGCTTGCTAACCTAGGAGCAATCGCAGTGACGATATCTATAAGACCATCCTGAGGGCGGATCAGGGCGAGACACCCCCCGCACAAGAAAATTGTCACTGCGAACAAGAAAATCGCCTTTGCTGTTTTAGGATTTGCCGCCGCCACAGGCACAGTCAATAGGCGCACTTATGATGATGTCGATGAATCATACCATTATTGAAAGAGTAGAAAAATTGAGGACAAAACTGCGGAAAATCCTCATTCGGCAGGATACCGCGCGGCGTTTCTTCAAAATACCCATCATGAGAGGCACAAAGGCAAAAAGACAAAACAAAGCGGAGAATGAGCTTCGGGAAAGCCGGCGATGAGGTAAATCAACCGCTAGAAAAATCCGCCCCAACCACGGGCCCAACATGGACCAACAACAAGCTCGCAAGCGACGCAAGCGAGACCATCCGCTTCTGCCGTGTCGAATCTGTCAAGCCTCTAGAAGACCGCACGATCGCGGTCCCACAGTGTCTCAGAAGTTGGGCATTTGGCCAAAAAATTTAGCGCGGCCACGATCCCTCCAGTACCAGCTCCAATGAGTGAGTTCCCTTATCTTGTCCGGTACCTACTGCTTTTCAATGTTGTTGCTCTCTCTCTTCATTGCATCTCTGGCAACCTCAGTAATACACCGTCGTTTCTGCAATCTTTCTTGCTTTTGGCAATCATGGTCTCCTTTGCGGCGTCCTGCGCCATTCTCTCGCTCTGGTCGGCGTCAAAGGTGCTTGCACAAGTCTGCACACCCTGCGAGGATGTGCATTTCTTTCTCGCCCGTGGCAACAATGAGCCCTACCCGGGACGACAGGGTGATCTGGTAGCCGCCACCTGCGACCACGTGGCCAACTGCGGCTACGAAGATCTTATCTACTCGGCTCTCTACACCGACTTGTCCTGCCAGACAACCTACGATGGCACGATCGCGGGTTTCATGCAGATGACTGCCTATGCCGACCGATGCCCCAACTCCAAGCTCATCCTGGCTGGATACTCGCAGGGAGCACAGATCGTGACTGACATTCTCGGTGGTGGAGGTGGCGTGTCTTTCAATGGATGTATCCAGCCGTCGACTCCTCCACTGGACCCGACCACCAGCCCAGGAAATCGATGTGAGTTACGGCGTGGTTGCTTTGTTTGGATATATGGCTTGTAGGCTAACATGGACATTTCAGTGTCGGCGGTCATCACGTTTGGAAATACCCGCCATACGGCCAACCAGCCCTACAACTATGGCAATGGTTCCTCGCGCGACGGTCTCTTCCCCCGGTCTGGTGACATGTTGACTGCTCTCGACGCATACGCGGCCATTACTCGTGACTGGTGTTTGGATGTGAGTGACAGGCCCGATTGTTGTTGGACTTTTCTGTCTACGAGTCTTGGAGAGCATGCTTAATCGCTGTAATCATGTCTTTTTACTAACATTCTTCGGAACCCAGGTTGACCCCATCTGCGCCAACAACTCCAACGGCATCGTCGCGTCCCACCTTGGCTATTACAACGTCTACTCGGACGAAGCAGCTGCGTGGATCAAGTCGGTCGCCTCGATCACGGACAACTCAGACTTTACTACCTCGATCGCCACGTATGTCAGTGGTACCGCGCAAGACTATGCGACTGTCGGAACCGGCACGCCGTCGGGTGTTGTGACACTTGCGTCGGTGACGACCGAGTCCATCTCGTGTCCGAGCGTGTCGACGCCTGCTTTCGCCGCCGTCAATTCGACCGCGTTGAACAGCACCACAACAGCCTCCAGGTCGGGCGTGTCGAGCAGTCACTCGGCGCCCCTCACGACCACCGCCAGCAGTGGCGCATCCAGCAGTGCGACTGCGGCCGCGACCATCATGAGTGCTCCCAGCAGCACCGGCCCCGTGGCGACCAGCGCAACGACCTCTGCGCCCTCGTCGACCTTTACGGACAGCTCGGCCAGTAGCCACACCAGCAACATGGGCTTGGTCCTTTTGCTGGGCCTGGCCATCCTGGTTGTAGTATAAAGGGGAAAAGAAGACATCAACTAGCAAAAAATGAAAGATTTACGCGTAAGATAACATAGTCTCAAACAATGTATATAATGTAATGAGGATGAGGGGGAAATGGGCAATGAATGAACGCACATTATTGACCATACTACACACTTTTTGTTCTAAGTGCTCAAGTCATCTACGAATAGTAAGAACTGACACATGAGGATATTTTAGCTAAAGCAGTGCCTGTCTGTGTACAAGAATTCGGGGCAGATGGGGGACGGTTGGATGTAGGTACGCAGGTCTTATCATGATCCCAGCGTCTTCTACATACGGAGTACAAAGCACAAGAAATCCTAGGAGTACGAGACCTCGCATAGCGCGGCTAAAATGCCCAGGCCCTGGCCCTGGCCCTCGCAGAAATCTGCAAGCACGAGCTTAGCTGCATGCCACGGCTTTTCAAGTCAAGCATAGTGGCACTCCAATCCACAAGGGCGGCTCGTACCTACAGTAGTTCCATGCGAGAGTGTACCCTACCACCTACCTAGATACCTAGAAGTATGTAGGTGATTGTACGTAACAACGGCGCCCAAGGAAATGTTTCAGCTTCCCCACAAAACAGGCAAAAAAACAGAAAAACGGAAACACAGTATGTAGGTAGTGGCCCAGTGGCAACGCACTCTTCCTGGTAACTCGCTACCTACTCGCTACATCTACCTGTAGGAACCTTAAGGTAGGTACGGAAAGAAGGCTTCGCACCTAAGCGAGATTCTGACTCGTGGTTGTGCTCCCGTTCCGACTTCGAGGTGCTCGAAGGGCCTTGGTACTACACTGTGTGTGCTCGATAGGGAAGTAGGGTGACAGGCAATCTCGCATTGATTGCGCTGGAGAAACCCTGGCTTGCGTGTCCGTTTGTGTGCGTGTGTGGGTGTGCGCGCGTGGCATTGTGGGTGGGTGTTGACAAGTGTAAACTCTGAATATGCACTACTTGTACCTATTCTTATCTGGTACCCACGCGTACTGGGTTCCGTTACCTACCCGGCACTTGTATCAAGTACTACTCCAGCGCGTATACTCAGCCCGTGGTCCATTAGAGGAGACCCCTTCTCACATACGTTTACGGAGAATAAGTACCTCGGTAGTCTGGAGAAAGGGACCAAAGTAGGCACCACGTTGTCCCTGAGGCTCAGGATACAACGCGTTGCCGTACCTCTATGACTGACAGGAATCCCAAGGTAATGTACTTGTAATGACTGTCACGCTCCGCCCTTGGAGGCACTGGTCGAAGACAACCGAGCGGCCGCACGCCTGCTGTAGGCAATCACCCATTAGTCCTCGAAGCCCTACTTGGTGGTAGCAGTAATTTTGTCGTCAGCATCCGCCGGGGATAGTGGGCAACTGTAATTTTTGAACACTCGATACCGCGCAGTCACATGCGAATTAACATCTTAATAGGTAGGTTTTATGATACTTTCACTATAGTAACACTACACACTGACAATAAGGATGTCTTACACCGCCATTTTATAGTATAGTTGTCACGGCCGTGAGCACGAAATGTCCAGATCCGTCCGGATCTGACCAGTCCCGGTTGACTAAGATGAGGAAGCGATCTGATTGGCTGATATAGTCCTGTACACTGTACAGGTAAATGGCGCGTTATGATTGGCCACACAGTTGGGTATGGCTTGGTAAAGTGGAACCTGTGGAGGCTTGGCGGATGCGGTCGCTACACAGTGTTTACCAACGCGCCACACCAACCGTCTCTCTCCTTTCTTTCTTTCCCCAGCTTAGTGTCTCGTACACAGGAATACATGATTAGAGGCATTCTCCCTTCACAGTGTGCCGTACCGTCACAACAGTATTATCCAAAACTCCGACACTACTATTGACTTTACTAAACTAAGACTTACTAGCTTTAAAAGATATCTACTAGTATTAACGAAAATTACCCCTACTAACAAATACCTAAATACTAGTTTAGGTGGAGAGGTAATACAGTCACGTGTTTGAGCTGAGGTAGTTGTCTAAATTATTGAACCAGCTAGATGTGTCGACTCTCATGGCCGCTTTTATAGTCACCATTACTAGCGCCTTGGCTGTCCCATCTCTCCTAGTATTATTATTACCGAGTATTTATTGTAGTTTTTCCAACCCAGTCTCCCCCTACCTGAACACTCAACAAACACCCTAGTATTTTTTCTTCTTCTTTCCTTTTCTTCTTTAGAAATAAGCCAGCGATACCGTAAAAACGTTCGTGGGTTGCGTTCGCTGGTCGAGATGTCGTAAACCGAGGTGTACGAGATTGCAAGCTCTGGAATCAAAACCCTTGGAGTCGACTGCAGTGTACATCACGATCTTGTGTGACCGGCCCTTAACTCCCATCCCTACCCTGAACGCTCCATTTCTTTGATAACCTCAGAAGCGTGTCTGCTCCACTTCGCCCAGATCTGCCGGTTTGCATAGAGTAAGGGGAGCCCCACGCGGATTTGGATTTCCAGCCATTCTGGTACATTTGTTGTAGGGTTCAGCCACACATCTTGAAACCTGGCGCATGGTATAAATCCACCCTCGACAAGGCAGTGTAGTAGGAAGATCCTGAATATCAAACCTAGAGTGAGCATGCTGCAAGCCCAGTCGCTCTCGGTAGTTTCCCCAAAGCGCATGACCGGCAGTCTCTGTCGATTATTGCCCTGTCCTGTGGAATCTCTTTGTAGACGGTGTAATTGTCTCTCGTGCGCAATTATCTCCACCCCTGCGTCAACGATACACCGCATAAATACCCGGTGGGCTCCACTACTCCTCCCAGACCCCGATGGCTGTTCACTCAAAGTATGTACCTCCATATTCAAAGCTTCAGCGAGGGCAGAGAGCTCAGCAGAGGAAATGTTGAACGCTTGCGTGTAGTAACTCGGAATCATTGAGTAGACTAATTCTACAGGATTAGTTGCTGCTGCTGGTGGCGGGTCCCTGTGTGAATGATCGAGGTGGGTGTGGTTTGTGTGGTCTGTGGCACAGCTTCTTCGGTCGGTCAAATATTCGTTTATCAAGAATGCGTGGACACTGCCAGCAGATTGATCGGAGACAGAGTCCAATTGAATTGCGAGTGCGTCACCGAATGTCACAGGGAGTTGATCCCCTGTCCTGACATTACGAAGCTCTCTTAGCAGGCACTCAGCCGATGGAAATGCATAGCGACAAAATATCTTGAGACTGTGGAGTAGATAGTCGCCGAGGAATTGTTGGGATTCCGTTTGTTGGTCACAGTGACGTGGTAAGATGGACTCAATAAGCCCACAATACAATACAGAGGCAACCACGATCATAAACCCCGTGCACGGCATTCTCTGCTCCTGAGATACGGTTGCATGGGCACGTACAAAGTCCTCCAGTAATTCGACCATCTGGACGCTTGCGTGGGCTCTATACCCTTCAATGGTGGATCTAGCGTCAGGGGCTAATGCCTCCAGATAGTCTCTTGGTGAGAGGTATGTTAAGTGGTCAGGAGCAGCGTGACTAAGTCGGTCTCCCACTTTGAGTTTCGACAACAGGTGGCTCGCGCGTTTGAAAATGGCGATGGGTCGGAAACGAGAGAGAGAAGTCTCCACCCATGTCTCATCGAATGACGAGATATCGGCGATGACATTGAGTTGTAACAATCGTAACTGACAATATCCTGGAGATTGTGGGGTAAAATTGTACCCGAGGAAGCGATCAAATCTTGCGCTAAATGAACCCCTTTTTAACTTGTAAGTCCCGCCATCAGAAGCGAGTGTAGCATAATCCAGGCCATCTATAAATCATTCAGTGAACGCTGATGAGTGCCAAAAACGTATTTCATGACTCACCCGGAACGAAGACATTGAAGCTGGATACATCAGCACGAGTGCACTGATTCCAGAATAGTGCGCTACGTTGCTGTGACCTCTTGATCGCTTTCGCACATTCGTGGCAGATTAGCCCGTTAGAGCAGCCATCAGAGCACTGTGTCATTCGGTCAAAAGGTTTCGCGGAACATGGAGATTTGATGTATGACTGCTTACCTTTGACTTTTTCCACTTACAAAGAAGACATGCACGGCCAGAGGCGACCTTTTCCTCGACACTTCTTCGCCTCTTTCGACTCTGCGTAACAAAGTCACTTTTTCCGATTCTCAATATCCCACATCCTTCAATATAAGAATGTCTTTCCTTGGAACCTGTGGCATGGTCCATGGGTTGGTATTGTGGTTGAGACGTGAACTCGTCAGGTGTCATTGAGTTGTGCACCAGTTCATTGGCACTGCGATCGAGGTTCAAGTCCCCATTCAAATTGAGGTCAAAAGATGTGTGTACGAGATCGTCTGGAAGGGCGACATCGTCTTGAAGAGGTTCGAGAGTTTGAGTCAAGAAGGAATGTGGATCAGTGTCGTCGACTGCGACAGGTAGATTCACAAATTGGCCGAAAAGTTCGTCATCGGCCAAACATGGTGAGTTGTGATAGTTGGAGGTGTTTATGCAGTCCATCTTGTTGGCGGCACGCGTCGAGACGCGTCCAAGGTTGTTGCTGGCCACAGTGCCAACAAGAAGTTTTGCTGAGAGACTTAGAGGACTAAGGACGTCGAGGAAAGCATGAGTGCAGAGGAGCTCTGGATCTGATTGCGCCCGCGGTGTATATTGATGTGCGGTGCCTCAGAACTCAGATCTCGTATGAGTGGCTCAAGGATTAACGTTTTGCTCCGTCGTCCTTACTAGGCTTAGTTTGTGGGGGCGAAAGTCGTGCCGGGTCCCAAAACGGAAGGAATTGTCACGTGAAGGATAATATTACAGAGCGTGCGAATGTGCGCCTCATCTCTCCTTCAAACTGCGGTACTATTGAGAAGAGAAGTCGCAGTAACAGTGCTTCACGATAACTGATACTAGTACGCCTTCTCCAAGAGTCGTCTCGCAGATCAGAGAGAAGTTGTGCTCAATTTGTTACACAGCATTACTATTCAAACACGTCTTAGTGGGATTCATTATGGATCCAAATGGTTCCCTAGTCACTATCCTTCAACAAATGCCAGATGACCGTGGTTCCACCACTAGATGGCCGCGGGCGGACAAACTTTCGCTGCTACAGACAGTCTTCCCGTTCGTCATTTTCGTCATTAGTGTTGTTCTTGAGGAAATTAGATGGAGAAACCGTGGTAGAACCCCATATACCGTCAACTTACCTATACTAATTATGCCGGTATAGTGAGAGTTCCTATCCAACAAATTTTCGTCCGCAATTTCGTTGTTATCATCAGAGATGGATAAACGAAGCTACGAAGAAAGCTCAAACAGAGCAGAGTTACCTTGGCGGATCATGCCGACTTCAGTCAGCCAAGATTGGGCACAGTATACGCCTACACTCGTTTCTACCTCTTCCTCTTCAGTCAAGCCACCACCGAACCATCCTATTCCCCGATCTTCTCGATAGGTTTATCCTGTTACCGCAAATATCAGGGTTGACTGGCGTTTCGAGGCAATCACGATGGTCTTTAAAAAGATATGGGAAAGATGTTTCTCGAAGAACGACTATGTATGACGTGTCAAAGGAAAGAGCCAGGTTTTCTTCATAAGGGATAATAAAGTCGAGAAGTTTGGCATGGGAGTCCAATCGTTACGCCCTACTGAGCACATCTGCGTTCCTATGCTTTATCTCACGCTCAACTACATTGACTCATGTCTGAGCCCGGTTATAAAGACACACAGGTTCTAAAGTGCCTGCAGCTGACTTGAACCTAGGTTCGCAGCTGCAGACACTCCAGTCCTTGTATTGAACTGGGGCAAGGCTCTTAGCCAGAGGCATCAACTCGTTCGGCGGTGGGCATGATGTTGGGGGTAACGACTATCGCACAGTAACAATAAAACAGCATCGAAGATCCTGGTCAGATAGATTCCATTGCTTGATTGATTGATTGTCCAGTTGTCTCTGTGTGTTATTGTCAAGGATCCTGTTGAAGGATTCAAGAAAGAAAAGCAAGGAACTCTCAGACCTAGTGTCCGAGATCCAGCTAATCAGGAGGCAGGAGTGTCTGCCTGTACGTTGTACAGGCAAATTCCACCAATCACGTTCCAGCCTGTAGACTCTCCCATTACACTAGAAGGATTAAGAGTAAGTGCGACAGAGTTGCAAGAGGTGAGCTTCAAGAGATCTTGAAGGGTGCACGTATGACTGAAGTATAATACTACCACTACCGAGATAGAGGCGCGAAGTGGCGAGAGCATTACGAGATGTTTATTACGAACCACCGTACTTTTACTGCGGGTTACCAATCATATTGCGCCGACACTCAGGTGTCGGTGAGCTGTGATTGGGTAAGTCGAGAACGCGCAAGGCCTTCGAGTTACCAGTGGAACAAGTATCTAGACCGTGCACGTTATTGATCAACCTATATTATCCTTTATCCGATTTCACCAGCCTGCTCCTAGTCCTTCTTTACGTCCATATCATTATATCTAGTATATCGAATACCACATAAACTACCTAAACTCGGAGAATTGGACCTAGAAATAGCTACCCTACTGTACTCCACCATTAACGCTCCGCCCTCCAGGAAGAATGTATCATAAACAGAATAGGAAGCGAAAGTGAACCGCACGAGAGGAGCATGCTACTCAGAGTGGAGAAGCATCCTCCTACGCGGCCGCAGTAAAAGGGGTTGAAAGGCCACTGGGGAAGACCTCGAGCCGGACAGGCCTAACCTCTTTAGGACACTTGCAAACCGAAGGAGAAAAGCATGCTCCATGCACCCGAGAAGCATTCTTTCCTCATGCTTCGAGTCTTGTCACTACTATACGTAAAGGGATACTTATTACTTCGGAATCGATTTATTGCTGAGTACTGCCCATCACCAATAAGGCATTCCTGATAGGAAAGGTCCATGAGTCCACTTCATCACGTGACATATCTACGTTGACCGAGTTATATCACGTGAACGTTAGGTACAGACTTGTTAGGTGCGGCTATGGTGCACTAGTCCATTCGTCCCAGAATCACTGGTAAGTCGTAGGATGGCTACCTCTTTCTAGGATGTAGTTGATCTCCGTTCAATAGTGATCACCACGCTCGGCGACCCATTCGCTCCTACTTTCGACCTAAGAAATCAGCTGTTGAAGATACTAGACCCTCGATTCGTTGAGCAGTGGAAGAGATGATAAGAGAGGACAAAGAGCAATCAGACGTTACCAGGAGCTATCTCAGACGGAGCCATTCAGATTGGAAACGCTTACTGAGGCCATGGAGCGGTCTGCCTCAAGACGTATGGAAACCACACAGGAACCAGAACCATTTGTAAACTCTTATTATATTTTGTTGCTGGCCAAAAATTACCATAACAAGTGGCAGACTATCTCACCCTCTCATTCGACGGCTGGATACCTGAGGTGGCTTGGAAAGCGGTGCAACTGCAGCGTAACGAGTGCTGAGGATTCAGAGGACGACGAACCAATCAAAAGCGAAAAGGTGTTGAAAGCGATTTGGCCCGTTCGATTTATGAACACTGTACTGGACGCAGAGCGAGAATCTTCCTTATTGAATGGCTACGCCCGTCCATCCAGCAGTTCCACGTTGCCTGAGCGGCCATATCAGTCTCCCTTCGCGAGCTGGAGGTTAGGCTGGGGAAGGCGAGCGTTCTGTCGCTCCTACATATGCACTCGATAACCGTCAACATATCCACCTATTTCCTTGCCCCCTGATTTCAAAGGAGAGTTAATTATGAACCGCCTCTCTGTTCTATCGTCCTGATCCACAGGATGATATTGTATCTTTGAAACGCCACGGTGGTGACTGAGTTCAGCTGGCCCGGATACCTCACCATCGCTTCCGGTCAAATCAACAATCTGCAAAGGTCTCTTCCTTTTGCGTATCGGTTGTTCCAGACGCTGAAGGGATGGCGATTACTTCTCCGCAGGATGATGGCTCTGTCCTGAACTGAACGGTGTGGGTTGTTCCGGATTCGGGCGCCGTAAACTGGATGCGCAGCGCATCTCCACCAATGGCATAGGGTTGGGCTTCCGACTAGCAGGATCGTTTTCGCTCTGAGTGTACCATCTCCCGTCGACTTCGACGGTTACCGCCTTAACACTATTTGCCGTCTGGTTCCGAATGCCATTAACAAACTGATCCACACCCAGCTGTTCCCAAGGCACAGCTCCATTGCAGATGGGATATGTCCACGTAGGCGCTTGTTCCTTCAATCCGAGTACTTCGAGCGTTTGTTCAATCGCGAGTGGAAGGTTTGATTATCCCCTTTCTGTCATGACGAGAGCCGTCTTAAACCTGAATGCATAGGAAACTCTCAAGAGCGCGATCGAGCTCAAAGATGAAAATGCAGACTCTGTTGAACCAATGATCCGCTTTCTGTATGAGAATGAATACGATAGCGGAAACAGCGAGGAACGAATATCTCCTATGATTTTCAACGCGAGAGTGTACAGAACCGTGAACCAATACAGGGGCCCAGCACTCGAATAGCTCTCAAAAGAGAACTTTTACCATGTAACGAATGTTTGCTAGGAAATGGATGACTTTCTCCATGTGACCACCGATGTCAATAGTACCCCTGAGTGTAAAGAACTTCGGGACAACATCGCTCGCGTTTCTCGAGACCACTTGGCGACCTTACTTGAAAAGCACAAATTTTTGCGCGTTCTTGAGGAAACGAGCGGCTTTGCTGCTGATCTAGTTCGACTTATGCCAGTGGCGCATACTACAGGAACCGAAATATGAATGTCCTAGCTGCCGGGGTAGACGGGAAGATAATCTTCGCCCAGGAGATCATTATTACTGCCAGTTGTGCGGCGTGAGCTATTCGGACTGGAGCCCATATGCAGCAAGCTAAGAATAAAGTAGAGATTGGATCTGTGCGATAGTCCCGCTAGACGAAAAGATTTGGGAAGCCACTAATGCTTGATTACTCCTTACCAGCCCTAAACTCGCAGTGTGATATCCCAATCTGGTCGATCCGTCAGGTGAGATGTCTCCTTGACTAAGGTTCTCAGCGATGTTGTCAATTTAGCGAGTAGCCAGAAGCGAATGCTTCTCTCTACGCGCTTATATTCTATCATATCAGTTTCCAGTTCTCGGTTACGGCGGCTCAGCGACCGATTTGTGGCTCTATACTACTGCGATTTGTTACCTTGCGTTCGCAGCTTATTCCGTGTGATGTCGGCAGAGGTTTTGTGATCTGACAGCTCTCGTTAATGTCGAGTGATAAGATGGTCGAGCTCGGCTTGTTTAGCCAGTAGTTCGGTCTGTAATTGACGAGCCTGGCTTACGATGCAGGAAAGTTCTCCTTATATCCAAGACACCGTCTACGATAGTGTTGTACGCATCCATAATGTCGCAGTTATCATCGAGAAGAAGTCGACTGGCGTCGAAGGTCGATTGTGCTTCGGGTATTGTCGGGGAATCGTAAGGTGATGATGGGGTGAATGATAGGGAGAAAAGAGGAATAAGAGGATAGAGTAGCATTTATAATCTGGAACCCCGTTAAGGCCTACAGTAGGCATACTAGGTTAACCTACTTTCTTACCTTCTTCCGTCCGTGGCATTAGCCCGCCATGACGAAGGCTGATGAAGGATCTCGTAGGGTACGCCTTTAATGTGACCTTAGCTGTTGTTTAGGTAGCTCCTGACGATGTCCCATAGTATCTCGCTGGTAGTTAATATGCTACTACCAGCTAGGAACGAACTAAGGGTCACGCACCTACAGGTAAGGATGCCCCTGTCACGAACACCCATGTGACACTGCACACTCATCTCAGGCCGTCAGCCAAGGGGTCAGGCTGACAGCCGAGCCGCTGGCTTATCGCATGTATACTCGGTATAGCAGGAGGGATCATACCTGTCAACCTTGAAGTCTTCTTCATGCTTTGCCATCGCTATCTATAGGCTAGTTATTCTATCATTATTGATCCCATAGTACACTCATTCACCCTCCAGTTAGGTAACTGGTCTGATAGCCCCTGATAGAACGCGATAACTTCTGTCTTGTGGAATGAGCGTGTAGGCAGACTAGGGCACTAGGTCGCCTACATTTCCACGTAGCTAGACGAACAACTAGAGTATATCTTATGCCGATAGTGCCAGGTGGGTGCAGCACTCTCATCACAAAATGGGCGTTGACGCGTCCGCCCACAGTCGTTGACCTCAAAACACTGATTTGGCTTATCATAATCATTGCCTCGACACCTCTGTCAGAAAAATCAGGAACAATAGCATCATGACAAGTTGTAGAACCACTCCGTGCGGTTGTACAATTTCAGCGCCTTGGGAACGCTGAACACATCCATCCTTGGACCTCCGTATTCTCTAAATTGACTTGCTGTCACCCACAGCGGACCGGTTTTCGTGGAGCCTCAGGCTCCAGGACGAAACATTGATCACGTTATTTCCGTCCATCATGGAAGACGCATATGAGAAGATTTTCAATCGTGTCAGTGGATAACAGATCAGCCATGTGAAGAAGATCCTCTAGATTGTGATTGGCGCGCGGCGTCCGCTCCATGTCAAAGAGATGGTAATTGCTCTCGGAATTGTAACATCGTTCGATTCGAGCAGGCTGAAGGGTATTATTCGTGATTGGTGTGGACTTTTCATCTTCATTAATCACGATCGAATATACCTCGTTCACCAGACGGCCAAGGAGTTTTTGATTAATGGGAACAGCTCTAGTACTTCCGTGTCTAAGTGGAAGTATTATCTTGACCCATAAAAAATTGAGAGAGAGATGGCTCAAATATGCGTCGAATTTTTGTCCTTTGATGATGTTGCGTCAACAGTAGAGTCCCTCATCCCAAATTCAAAAGGTACCACTCCCCTAATGATTATTTGGAGGAAAACGACCATACCTAAAGCTTTTTAGTCTACTTAGTAGAGTACTGGTCGTCTTATCTACGAGGTATATACCTACCTCAAGGTGATGAATTGGCATTTCGAGTAGTTGGATTTTATCAGGTCAACAGCCGTTTATACAACGTCTAGTTCCTAATATTTTAGCAGGCGACGGAGCCCTACAAAGAGCTTCCGGGGATGAGTCCGACACGACTTGGGGGGTTGCTGGGCCATGAGTATATATTGAAATTGATGTCACCGGTCGACGCTTCTTTTATGTTGACGTCGCCAGTGCCTCCATTACTTGGTAATCGGGGTGTGATGACAGTCCCCGTCTGAGAAAATACGCAATTTTTCTTTGGGCACATCGATGACACTTCTGATCTGGAGAAACTAGCACGAAACCATGTTTTTCATGTCTTCTTCGAATTCTTTCTTCGCGCTCCATCACTCTCTACTCTCTACTCTCTCCACCCTTCACTTGTCACTTGTCACTTATAGTCTTCAGCAACCTCTAGTGGGGAGTATATCACGCAGGTATGTAACGCTGTCGTACCCCTTAATAATCAAATTAGCGGTGCCGCATCGCATCGTCTCCGAGTAAACGAGTACCTGAATGTCCTGGGTATGTCAGCCCGCCAGGACATTTGGTGCCTGGCCACACAAGCACGAAGACCTTTATTAGGTACGGAGTGCTCGGTTACGTATTTACCTGGGAGATTGAAAAGGGGCATTCAGTATACTTGGTATATACTTGAATAAATTAATTTAGCAAGAAATGTGACTTCCTGCAATATGATCACATGCGAGATTTAAATGTACTTGCTCTTGATCACTTACTCTCTGAATCTTGATCAGTCTCCACGCATGCATGCATATGCCAGCCTACCTGCCTATCTACTTGGAATGTGCCACATGGATACCTAGGAAGAAGACACATCCATGTACCTTCGTTCTTCGCTCCTAATAAAGGCGCCCGAGATGGCCACGATCGATGAAGTCGCGAGGTGGCGACAGATCAACTTGTGAATGACTTGATCGTCTCCTTACATCAAATTCCTTCTATTGAGTAGACGTAGACCCTCGTGTCTGTCCAACGATAATTCACTACCCTGACTGACCATATATGTCTCGTAATTGGGTGATACCTACATGTGAGAGCGGGCATCATCACCAGCGCATGCATGTGTAATTGTGTCACTATGAGTGCTGTGTAGAGATCAAAATGAGGGTAGCTTAAGCTTCCTTATGGGGGATCCAGGATGGTGTGGGAGGTATTATTATCCCAAGACTTTCTCAATACCTCGTATGACGTGCGGAATATCCTCGGTCATACTATGTTGCGTAGAGGGTACTTTACTTTTTAAAAGAGTAGTTTTGGGGGGGGGGGGGGGGGGGGGGGGCGAGCCCGAGGCGAGGCTGTCCAGAAACTAATGGGGAAGCCTGGGCCGCGGCAGCTCGGCTTATCATCGCTAATCACCCTTTTCAGCACTGGATGAACATAAGAACACGGGTAACGGCACCGCAACTTTTCAGTGTTTGACACGAAACAACGAAACGAAGCACAGACTTGAGCCACACTACCTCGTAGTCCTTGTCTAAACAATAATAATACCTCGATAATGGTGCTTGATCCTCACCAGTCCTGGTCAGAAGAGCTGGAGTCCACATGGTATGGGTGACGATATACCACCGCCATTTTTGTGATCAAGTCATAGTTGTAGCTGTAACGGAAATGTCAATCGCCGAGGAACAGCGCTCTTCGACGGTTGACATGTCCAGATTGACTCGGCTAGAACATTCCCTTATCCTTGGCTGCCTGAGCACGACTAGGTAGGTAGGTATACACTGTTTAACGGACTAATCACTATCAAGCGGTCATCCATGAGGCGATTCAGCCAGTCGACGGTTTTTTTCTTTCTCTTTTTGCCGCGTGGGAATCTCTTGCAAACTGTACATAATACATATTTGTATCTCCAGGGCCGATCGTTCCCCACGAAATCGCTGGTAGCTGATAGCTAATAGGCACGCACCACTTTTCTCAACGACATCGGGCTTTGCCACGATTTTTCATTGGTGCGTCGAAACGAAATCTCAAGGACACTATTATTACTCGGTACATTATCGCGTATCGCATATCATATATCGTTTGTTGGGTCACCACCACCACCACAAAACAATAGAAATGGGCACCAGAACAACAACCGCCGACCAACAAAAAATGTAAGCTCCTCATAAACTCTCACTCACTAAGAAATCCACCCACCCTTTGATATCTCGCTCAACTGCTCGGCTCACCTGTTGACACTTCTACCAAAAGCTCCTCTGCACACTACGACCCGATGCGTCCGGGCGCATCGGCGGCGGCCGACGTCGACCCGCGCTACGTGATGAGGGGCATCGACTTCAGCCTCCCGCTCAAGGAGCGGGTGCTCGACTTCCAGAAGAATTTTCTCGAGGACCCCCATTTCGGCGGCTTCGACGCCTACGCGCTCAAGGATAACGTGCGCTGCGTCTCCGTCTCCGCCGGCCGCACGGAGTGGGAGCTCGAGGTGCTCCCGCACCTGTGCAACAAGGGCGGGAAGCTGCACGGGGGCGCGGCCGCGACCATCCTCGACAATCTGACCACGACGGCGCTGATCGCCGCGGCGAGGCCCGGGTTCATGGACCTCGGTCACGTCAGCCGCAACATCAACATGACGTATCTGCGGCCGGTCGTCGAGGGCGCCACCGTCAGGGTCGTCTGCGGGCTTGTCGCCGCGGGGAGGACCCTCGCCAACATGAAGGGCGAGATGCTGGTCGACGGCAAGGTCTGCGTGACGTGTCTGCACGACAAGGTCTTTTTGCGTCCCCCGCCGCCGCCGTTAGAAGAAGGGCCCTCCTCCAAGCTGTGACTCACTCACTCACTGACTCCCTCATGGTCAAACCCTACAAAGCGAAAAAGGTCTTTTGACTCTGGGGTAATGAATGGTTGAGGGATCGACGGGTAGAAATGGATGGATAGATAGATCCTCGAAGCTACAGATGGCTAGAATCTTTTTGGAGATGGGTACTGGGATATAGAGTTGCGATAGACCATGGCACGGTGTCTTGGTTGTGGGCGTTGGAATGGCACTGTCGATCGTGACGGATAGAGTACACGTAAAGATTAGACATCAGCAATAAGACGAGATGGCCTCCAAAAGCTGACTGATAGACATGAACCAGGATGGTCACAGAGTCAGTCCAGGTCTAAGACACTTTGTCAAACCATCCAAGATGCGAGCTGAGATATTTTGTTTGAGATGCGCAAAGTTTGCGCCTCGCAGCCTCGCATAGCCACACAAGAGCCAACGGTTCAATCCCAAACACACAAACTCTGTCAGCAAAGTCCGGTCTGAGCCTTTTAATTGTTCGAGGACTCTACGTGGAAGCAAATCTTGTCTTCAGAAAAGGAGTGCCCAGCCTTGATTCGCCTCGAGGAATTTGGTACCCATCGCAACTAAATTGAGGACCTCAAGGAAATGGCCGCAACAACTGGAAATCCCGCACTGTCCAGCTCATGTTCCTTTGGATAGGTCTTCATCTTCCAGGTTTTGCGTCGTTAACAAATGTGGAATAGAAGACGGTGAGTAATTTGGACGGACGATCAGAGGCGGTGTTCTGTAATACCATCATCTGAAGCACATTTTGCTTTGCAAGTCCAGCGCGACCCAGGGATAAATAGCCACTTCTCCCCACGCATACTTTTGCACTCTGGAACACTTCACACATCATCTATAGGTGTCAGCTTCTCACCTTCCGACCTCGCTCGCCACGACTAGTATATCGTCGTCGCTATCATGGGTGCAGCCGCATCAGCCGCCAGGGGCGCGGCCGTCGTTGGCGCTGAAGTTGCTGAAGTCGCTGCGGTAGGTGCCGAGGCCGCAGAGGCCGTGGTCATGACCGGCGGCGCTGCAGCAGACGGCGTCTTGGGTCAGACGGCCAGCAGAATCGCCTCATCTTCAGAGTACTTTTCGGCATTAGGAAGTCGTCAGGGGTCGCAGAGCTCAGCCTTTCGAAGCGTCACCATGTCCGAAGAGTCATTGCCGTTAGCGCCTGAGCCTGGGTGGGCGGATCAAATTTACAGTATACCAAGGAGGCCAAAATCCATAGGTCCATCGTTCAACAAGGGAAGGCCATGGGACGGGCGCGGATTCAGAAACCACCCTGCCTCAGAGGGAGGAGCGTACCAAAACTGGGAGCTTGGACCGGGTGGAGAACCACCGGTGCCTGCAAAGTTGCCACAACCCGAAGTGCCAGGTCGTCGGATTCCGGGTTCGACGTCGACCAATTCAGAATTCGTCCGAACTCAAATCAAAGGGAAACAGATTGCTAGTGATTGGTACACAAAGACCGAGTCTGTGTATAGCGAAGAAGAAATCGCAAGCATGGCATCAGAGGAGGAAATCACCGGATCGGCCTGGTCGCATGAAGCTGCAGATGGATCCCAAATTGAGCGATTCCCAGAGTATTACTCACCACCCAGAACACCCTCCCACATATCATCGACCGGAGCGTCAAAGGGCTCGGCCCCCAAGTCTCTCACCGACTCGGAAGAATGGTTGCGCTCGTCAGAATCATCCTCAGGCACTGTTGTCCACCACACTCCTCCCAACAACCCAAACTCCATGGAGGCCATTGATGGATCGGCCGAATGGCTGTCGGGGTCGGAGCCGGAATCGGTAGCAGAGGCTTCCATAGATGCCACCTATGGCTCGTCAGAGGGGGAATTGATCGAAGGAGAGGTCGTCTACGACGGGCATCCACTAGGAGCTGAATCGCCCGCCTCCGGAGAGTCAACAGGAACTGTCATTCACCACCGACCAGCAGGGGCGGCAGCAGCATCAGAGGCGGAAGCCGTAGGGCCAAAGAAGTGGAGGCGATGGCAAGACTTGTGGACCCCCAAAGACATCCTGTCCTTTCCACCGGCGACGAGATTCAACGTGCTCCGAGGTCAGAAAGTCACCGAACCGATTTTCTTCGAGCCCGGAGCGGCGACGAAGCCTGATGCCAAGACATTCGCCAGGTTTGAAAAGGCAGTCCGGCATTATATCAAGAAGGAAGGAGCCTTCACGGGAGAGGAGGTCTCGATGCTGTTCGGCAAGAAGCCAGGACAACTGACCGGCGCCGAGTTTGTGCAAAAGATAGGCAAGCCGTTCTGGCCCAAGAAGGCAGCGAAGCTCAACGCCATGTCAGGACCAGAATTTTCCAAACTGACCGCCCCAGAGCTTCAAAAATTGCTGCCGGCTCCCTCAAGAAGTAGTGTCGGCGGAGGTGCGGTTGGAGTTGCCACTTATGGCATGATTTTGGCAGGGTATGTTTATACAAACACAATGGGCGAACTGCACGCGGACAAAATGAAGGACAAGTACAAAGATATACACAAGCGCTCCGGAATCGAGCCTGATACACCTGAGATGGCACGCGAACCTGTGTCACCGACGACCCTCGTCGTCACCGAAGGGCTGACATGGATGTACACTGACCCGCTCCCGACACTGGGCATTTACACTGTCAACGACACGACATCCTCGGTGTTTGATGGGGATTACATCACCGTGCCCATGTCCCAAGGCACTGAGTATGCACTCACCTTTCCGCCCGAGGTGCAGCGGATTCACCTCACCAATGCCAGCCCGCGGCCAATCTGCGTGGCAGGTATCAACATCACCACCTCGGACAAGTACTGGACGAGCTTGAGTGGCAATCTGGGGGATCTTTTTAACGCCGACCACTATGAGACCGGGCAGCAAGTTATGAATGGGTCGACGTCGTGTACCTGGATTGACCAGAACCCAGAAGGGATCGGGATTGCTGGATTGACCTTTGAGCTGGTCGACAACGTGCATGTTCCTGTCAAGCTCAACGGGACCTTGCCCGTTTTCTGGCTCTCCAATGACACCCTTCCGGAAGATCTCGTCAGCGACCAAGAGCTCTTTGACTTCACCGAGCACTTGGTCAAAAGCCAGTTGACCAAGTCGAGTGCAAAGCGGCTGTGCGAAAACCAGTATTCCCAAGGCCCACACTTTGTCAGTTTGAATGAAAAGCTATACTGCGACATGGAGGCTCGACAGATCTATCCTACCTGCGGGGACGAGGCTGGAGAAGGAGTGTGCTTCGACGTCGACAAGGACAAGCTGGTCGAGCCAGAAGAGGGAGACAGTGAGGAAGACGAGGCGCATGCTGAAGGAGAGGTGCAGGTCGAGGGTGTTCGTGGCTCTTTCACCAAGCGGCGGGTTGCGAAGGCGAGGAGATCCAAGGTGGTCAAGAGCTTCAAGCATGTGCATGTGTGGGAATGAGGTGGGGGAAGAGAATGGAAGCAATCACGAGATGAGACTGAGATTGAAGGAGTGATAGAGTGCGTGATTTTGTTCGATTGTGCATTTTGATGTGTTCGTACGTGTTTGTCTGATTTGCTGGATGTTTGTTCGTTCGTACAAGAGGCGGAGAGGGAGTGACGGAGAGCGGAGAGGAGAGAGAGGAGAGAAAAAAGTGAAATGCTTGGCACTGGTATGGATTTCGTAATACAATAAATTACCTTAGGTTTTCTGCTGGACCGTACCAAGCTAGTCCTCTTTAAGAAGTTTGCCTTGATACCTGACGGCCCCAATACAATCGTCATAGTCTCACTGTGGCGGCACCAGTGACTTCATCGTTGCGCAGTCGCATTGGATGGTGGCATGGCATGATGTTGCTTCTGGCCAGGCAGCATTCATTCTTTTCCATACAAACACCTCATTTTCTGCGAATATCCTTGGAACTGTTGAATCCTTCTCTGACCCCCATCTAACTCCTCCGCCCTCTATCCCCCCTTATCTAAGATTCTATTCCTGGATTGTTTGTGTGTGTCGACATCATCCCGGCCTTCAAAATGTCGACCATCCCCCATGGCTATTCGGACGAGAAGGTCCCAGAGATCGAGGTCCTTCCAGCCCCAGCTACTTCAGCACCTCCTGCGAGACGAACCAGTTTTACCAGCCGACTGCTCAGATTCGTGGTCACCGTCCTCGGCGCCATTCTAGTCTTCAAAGCGCTCTGCAACATCGTCGGTTTTCAGTCCAGGAGCTTCTCGAGACCGTGTCACGGTATGAGTCACCAAGTTCCCGGCCACAGCGCGCAGCTGTTTGACGATGACGGCCATCACCAACACCCGTTCCCACCTATTGACGATTGGAAACCGTTCAACGGCACCACCCACTTCGAGTTCGAGCCCTCCCAGGCCAGTGGTCTCTCGGTCCGAGGAGCAAACGTCTTTGGGAAAGTCGTCTTTGAAACGTCCAAGTTCTCCGACAAGGTCGTGATTGACTTGGACATCAAGACCAACAAGAAGGACAAGCACGGCGACGTCACGATCAAGGAGGACAATGGCCATCTCACCATCAATACTCCGCCGTCTGGCAAACTCGAGACTCACACGGCCGTCACCATCCAGATCCCGTCCAACATTATTGGAGAGTTTGCCCTTCCGCGATTCGAAGTTGACGTTCCACGCCACATGGTCGACTTCAGCCAACTGCCCCAGTCTCTGGAGATCGGCACATTCACGATCCGAGTTGGGAAGGGCTTCGTCAAGCCAGGCCCTGTGCATACCAACACGACCCAAGTCTCCATCGGCAACGGCGCCCTCCGCGGCACCTTGACGCACGCACGCTACGAGACCAATGTCAACATAGGCAGAGGCAATGTGACACTCAACATCCCCTCCATTTCTTCGGGCAACCAAGGCTCGACCCACATCCAACTCGGCCACGGGCACCTGAACGGCAGCCTGGCGATCTACAATTCGACCAACATCGACATCGGCAGTGGCAACATCTACGTCAACGTGGCCTTCAAGTCTGCGACAACGCGAGCCACACTCTCGACTCGAATTGCGTCGGGCGACTCGCGTGTCTTTGTCGATTCCATCGCCGCAGAACGATTGTTCGAGGCATCCCACACGTCCGTGGCGGGCGACCAGCTGATCACGTACCCCGCCAACTTCCAAGGCACGGTCGATGCGCGCGGCATTGTCGGGGACATCAAACTCGAGGGCAAGGACCTGGCCGTGGAGAAAGTCGTTGGTGGCATAGTGGGCCGAAAAGGCGACAGCAACCGGAATTCAGTCAGTGTCAAGACCGTCCGGGGCAAGCTGGATATTCTGGTCGGTGACGAGCCTTCAGCACAGACGGGCCACGGCCGTTAAAAGGCTGCTGCCAACCAGCGCGGCCTTTTGAGAACTATTACCTTACGATTGAGTCAGCGCGACATTGCTGGACATGACGACGTATGTTATGGAAAAGGGATTATGGACCTGGGCCTTTGGGATAACAAAATTGGAGCCATGGACACACGAGATATGGAACACGGGAGACATGGCTGTACAAGAACAAATACACGCTGTCATAGCATGGAGAATAACGACCAGGCAATATACCTGGATGCCATTCATTCCTTCTCTCATAAAGTCCCCGTTGAAGAGTTTCCATAAGATCCTACCACGATTTGATCTACCCATGGACCATAATGCACATGTGTGCTCCATGATCCATATCCCTCGCTCCTTCCCTCCACCCCCTCCTGGATGTTTATATTCCGCACCAAAAAAAAAAAAACTTTTCCACCCAGCCCCTATTTACTTAGGAGGTGGATGGTAAGTGAAACCCGCCGTCCCCAGAGGGAGGCAGTGTTTTTTCCGCATGATCGCCGTAGGAGGAGGTTCGAAGGTTCGAAGGTTCGGAAGGTGTTCGATTCCGGAGGTTCGCCTACTTTGAAACCCGTTTTTTCGTCCATCACTTTTTTGGTTTTGTTTTGTTGACTCTACAAAAGTCTCTTTCTCTCACTTTGTTATTTTGTGTGTGGTTGTTGACTTTTTTTTTTCAAAGTCTCTTTCTCAAAGTAGGGGTCTTTGCGATTCTTGCTGGGTTTTTCGGTGGTGTAATATATATGGGTGGGTATTTTTGAATCTTCACATCTTCACATGCAGTAGGTGGTCAAGTGACTTAGGTGCTGGCTCTTGGTGGTGGTGTTGGTGGAATACTTGCCTGTTTTGGCGGTATATCGTGATTGTTTCACGCCAAGATTCTTTCGACAGGAGAGGATAGGGAAATGGAGGAAGTGTCTGGAAGTGGGTCAGTGGTTGGGATATTCCTCATATACCTTATACATACATCCATGCGTGGTAAGTATATGTGTGTGTGATTGTTGGTGACAATGGTATAGCGAAATAGAGGGTTGGATCAAGATCAACAGGTGTCGGTCGACCAAAGCTTGGATAGAATGTCCACAGGTCCATATTAAAAGTGGTACATACTCTTCGGACACATTCCCTCTCAAAGCCGTCCATCTGGATATCTCTTGGTGGCCTCAAGCCATTCTCGCTTGATCCCAGCTGCTGTCCACTGCAGTACATTGCCGATCCTGATCAACTTCTTCCAAATCCAACTGTCCGTCCTAGGCCTGAGACCAGACCACCACCAGTCTTCACAGCGCTGTCTGCTGCGTTCCTCCCAGCCTCGCTTGCCTTGCCCGCTGCATTTGTGGCCGATGAGGCAATGCCCGATGCGGAACCGACGCCAGCTGTAGGAGCAGTGCCTCGGTCAGGGATAGAAGGCGTGGCTACCGGACTTGAAATGTGTTGAGCTCCTCTCTGATTCCCCGCATCTGTATCCTTTGTGGAATTCTCTCCTTGTCCGGCGCCCCCCGTCATCGTGCCTGTGGCAGCATTCCCAGCCCGCTTAGCCGCCGCTGTGGCATCCTGGGAGAGACTAGCCAGCCTCTCGCCAATGGCTGTAGGTGTCGGGGCGGTGGGGACTTGAACCTGTTGACTGGAGCTCTTCCGCGGTCCCAACTTTGGTGGCGGCGATCGCACACCACTGCTGACTTGCCGTATGAGGCTCGGTGTCGGGACTGAAGTAGGCGGAGTGGGAACCCCTGACCCCGACCCCGACGGGGCAAGTCTAAGCTGGGGGGACTTGATCCCAGACAGAGGACGATCGAGTTTCGCTGGAGGAGATTTCACACCAGAAGGGGTTCTGTCCAATTTCGGGAGAGATGGTGACTTGACGCCAGAAGGAAGACGATCGAGCTTCGTCGGCGGAGATTTCACACCGGAAGGAGTTCTATCCAATGTTGGTAGAAGCGGTGACTTGACTCCGGAAGATATCCTGTCGAGCTTAGCGGGTGGTGACTTGATAGCCGATGGAATTCGGTCGAGCTTGGACTTGACTCCTGACGATCTCTTCTCCAGTCCTGGTCTTTCTTGTACTGGCTTGGTGGTGAAACTCTCCTTTGAGAGATCGGACGACTTCTTTGCGAGTTTCGGCGGTGGTGGTCTCTTCCCACCCTTGTTGACTGGCCCCCGAAACCCCATACTCGGCATCCTCGGTAGATATGCCGCTGCTCTGGACGTGTAGCTCTGCCCTGTCTTCGTCGCACCCTGGGCAGCAGCATCCACTGTATTTTTACCCGTTGCTGGTGCGCCTTGTGCTGTTTTGCCCGTCTCGTCTGCTTTCAACGTCGCAGTATCCAGCCCGCTTTGCACAGTCTGAGCCGTATTCTGCACCGTCGTGCCTGCCGCTTCAACTACGTCACCCGTTATATCCCGGACTGGAGCCGGCGTGCGATCTTTTGCTTGATGGATTATTGGAGCCTCACGAGTGGCCCGGTTGGCCGACTTTACTGCCGGATTATCCTTGGGATTCAATGTATTTTTGACAGTCGGTGCGACCGCGTCGGATACTGTGCCTGCTGTGCCTTTGGCGGTGGCGGTGGTAGTCTCTGCTGCCTTGTTGGCAGAGTCCGTCGCCTTTGCTGTCGCAAGTTTAGGGGGTGCACGGGATTTCTTCTTGCCGGCGCCTGGAAGAGACGTGATGCTGGCCAGAGAAGGCAGATATTGCGAGGCTTGCTGGACGTAGCTTTGAGTTTGGCTTGTTGGTGCCTCTGCTCCTTTGGTTGCTTCGCCGGTTAGTTTGCTAGTGTCGGTAGTGTCCGGTCTCTGGATCGTGCTGGGACTGGATCGGTTGATATGTGGCATACTCGGCAGATGCTTGTAGATATAGGTGGCATAGCTCTCTGTCGCAGCTGGAGCACCTTTGGCCGTTTGACCTGCAACATCGCAAACCTGGCCGGGATCTTGTCCAGACTTTTGGAGATTAGCGGCAGCCTTCTGCGCATCTTTCGCGGCTGGCGCACTGGGTACGTAGAAATACTCGATCGCCCGGGTGACCAGGCTCTTCTTGGTCTGTTCTTGGATCTTCTTTTCCAGCTCTTCGGCCTCTTCTTCTCCCTCGGCGGCCTCGTCCACCTTGCCGCCATGTGACTCCCTTCGCATCAACCATCTGTTCCGAGCAGCAACAGACTGCTTCTCCTCCTCTTTTTCCATCTCCACCAGCTCCTGTCGTTCCCGTTCCACAGCGGCCATGTCGATATCCTCGAACCCGATTTTCTTGAGGATTGCGCCGATCAGATAGCGGTAGCGCTGGTGGCTGCTGATGTCCTCCGAGACATCAAAGTTTTCGACGGCGCTCAGACCCTCCACCTTCTGCAGTCCAGCCACGCCGTACTGGATGGCTGACGTGCGGTACATGAATCCGAGGACGTAGTCGTTGACAGAGAAGACATTGACCAGCCTGCCAGCAACGACGCTACGCAGGATTCTCCAGTCGCTGGTATCACTGGGCGTTGGCGAACCGATCATCACCGCATTCTCAACGATTCCAAACTCCTTTCTCTTCGCCAGGTTCATGAGACAGGTATAGATGACGCGGGCTCCAAGCGAGTAGCCGATGAGAGTGACGGGGCGCTCACCTTGGGCACGATTGACCAGGGCATCTGCCAGAACCTCGCCTGCCTTGTCGGCACGGCTTTTGGCAACACTGAAGGGGTTGTCAATGACTCTGGCGACCTTCATCAAGGCCATTGGCCACATCGCCGCAGCAAGTTCTGCGAAGATGGTCCGCGAGATGATCTCCTTCTGTGCGTACCCCCAAGCGGCCGACTGGACCATGCCGTTCATGGCATTTCCCAGGTTCAGCAGCGCCTCCAGTTCGTATTTCAATGCAAAGACTTCGGCGCCCGTCCCCAAGGAACGCCACGGTTTGACCACCTCCTCTTTCTCAGTCAACCAACCAGAGATGCCCAGGGTGACGCGAAGCTTATGGTCGTGTTCGCTGGCTTCTTGGGCACCTTGAGCTTCGTCCTCGCTGGTCTTCTTCTCGCTACTGCCATGGACAGGCAGGAACTGAAAGTCTTCCACTTGGCGCGCGTACGAGTCCATCATCTGGCCTGTCATACGCCCACCATACGCACCAAACAGTCCACCAACAAGGACGGCACTCCCGGCCACAGAGCCCAGATAGGCGGCCGCGGATGTAGCACCAAGTCCGAGCCCGCCCATGACAGAGCCGACACCTGCAGCCACCAGAGGGGCGGCCATCCCACCAGTGACACCAAGGACTGCCGCCCCAGCCGCCGTCGCATAGCGAACTCTCCACTTCCGGGTCTCTTCATTCTCCTTGATCTTCTTCATCTTTTCCTCGTCAGCGGTCAGCTCTTTAGCTGCTTCGAGTAAGCCTTTGGCCGTCGCATACTCGTCCTGCTCAAAAGTCTTCAGAGGTAGCTTCAAAGACGACGTCAAGTTGAGCAACAGGATCCGAGAGTAGGCAGTGTAGTGCTCCAGAGACAGGAGCAGAAGCAGCAGAGAATGAAGAACCAGCGTTCGCTTGTCCATAGGCAGTTTCGTCAACGGAGTTTTGGTGGGTGGGAACAGGTCTTTGAATTTCAGATTGACAACCCTAGACCCAACCTCCATGACTTTCCCGGTGGTGGTTGGCAGTTGGGCCCTTGACAAGGCAGCTTTGGCACCCTTCCGAATTTGTTCCTGGGCAGTGCGTTCGCTGTTGACGACTTGGCCAATCCGCAGGATGACTTGCTCACGCCATTTGTCAAAGGCCTTGAGAGAATCTTTCTTGAGGTTCTTCATCTTCAAAGTCGCCAAATCCTTGTCGATTTCCGCCTTCATCTTACGTTCGCGGTCATAGGCAGAGACGTCGACGTTGGCTGGGTCCACCGCCATCATCTTTTCGTCCTCCGTCATACCTTCACGAAGAAGCGTCTTGTCTAGCCCTGTTGTTGAGCTGAAGTTGTCAAGAATCACTTTGCGCATTGACTCGGTCACATTGGCGATGAGGAGTGTGAGATCGGCACGTTGAGCTGGGTCTAGGATGCTGGCGAGGTCCGTCTCGTCCGCACTGTTCGCCTGGGCTTTCGCAGCCAGCTCGGAAGCGGGTTGTTCAGCCATGATGGCCACTGCTGCTTCAGTTCACCTTGCCACCCAGTGATATACTATGGCGTTCAGGCACACTCGAATAGACCCGAGCCAAATTGCAAACACTCGAGAGGCTTCAGCAGCAGAGGCTAGCAGGTTGAGTGAAAAGCTGTAGACAGGTTAGAAGCACAACAAACAAATAATCACAAAGGAGACGAAAGTGTGGCGGTGCATATCTCTCTTCATGTCGATGATCCAAGTTGGCGGCTGTTGAGGGGGTGAAATGACGTTATGGGAAAACTTGTCGTGCATATCATGATGCTTGTCCCTTCATCTCTTCGCCCCCTGTTCCCTGCAGCCACACAATCACAGAAAAACACTTATTCGATCGTGGGGATAACAAGAACCTGGAAAAACACAGCTAAAGAAAACATCCGGATCGAAACATGTTTTGATCTTACTTTTCGTATAGTATTGCGTTCAGTCGTTATCAAATCTTGTCCTTGCGGGGGCTCGTCGTCTTGGACCTTTTCCAACCCAAGAAGTCTAGAATGGTACAAAGTCACCAAGAATATGTATGCAATTGTTGGCCGATCCTCATCACTCCGGTCGCCTTGCTTGATATAAAATGCAGCTTGAAAGCCCGTCGAGCCATAGCAACCTATAGTATGGTTCCAAAGCTGATCATATAGTTAGCAAGACGTTCACAAACATCTCAGTCAGTGTGTAAGACATACCCAAAGGTCTGCTTGATGCTGCGAACGTAGTAGCCTTCCCAGTTTCTCTGGACCACCTCCTCTTGCCCTACCGGCACCCCAGTCCAGGTCACACGCATATTAGTTACTCGGTCAACATCGTTCTGGTCAAAGAAAATTTCCTGAGTGCTCATGTGTCCTTCCGGCCACTGCGCTAATCTCCATTTCTGAATAAGTTTCTTGGGCGGCTGTAGTTCGACAAACTCTCCAGTGACATTGCCGTCAAAGATGGAGAACTTCCCGCCCACCTTGGCGCCTTCGAATAGTCGAGGAGGCGCACGAGTGAATGCCGCGAGTCGTTGGGGGTCGGTAAATGTCTGGTACATCTCTTCCGCAGTAGTCCGAAATTCGTCCGTGGCAGTGACAGTGGTCGTATTGACGGACGATTTGCCGCTTGTGGAGGTTGTTGTCGGGGCAGGAGACAGAGGCTTCCGTTCTTTCTCGGGATGCCACGTGGGAGTTGCGAAACCGCTCGAAGGATTAGAGCCAGGAGCGTGCTGAAGGTCTTTTCCATGCTCTTCAATCAGGGCAGGCCCGAATTTAGCAAACACTTGTCGAAGTTGAGGGACCAACTTCGATCGGACAAGGTCTTTAACGGGCTGTTTCTCTTTCTTCTCCGAGTATATATCAATTTCAAACTGCACAAGTTGTCAGTCGTGTCCTGAGCAGAATTTTGCGTGAAGCCGCAACACGAGTACATACCACATAGTCATCAGGCTGGGTGTCATATGCACATTCAGGGACTCTGATGCTCCCACTGACATCGGTACCTTCTTCCGTTTTGCCTGTTGGTCACAAATGAGCAACCTCTTCTCACGTTTACCTGCAACGGAGTGGTGTACCTTCATATTCTAATTGTAATGCAACATCAAAGATTGTGATGACTTTTCCCTTCCGCTGGCTCACTTCCACATCGCCGTCCATGGAGATCAATCTGGTGATCTTTGCCGACACACCATTTTCTTCCGCCGAAACCTTCTTGACTTCTGTGTCTAGATAGTCTTTGGCCCAAGGGCCAGCGTCTTTGTTGACCCAATGCCAGTTGTTCGGGTTGTGGAGGACCATTGTGGGAGAGGGAGCAAGTGGTGTTCAGGGTGTCAGAGGAGAGTTCCTGTTTGTCGATGTAACACAGATCAGTCTCAGGGCTCACCGAGTCAAACTTGTAAACTTGTGTTTAAAAGGGGTGCAATGTTCAGGTTGAAGGCTCGAAGCCATGTAAAGCTGATCCGCATGTAAAGAGTACAAGTCTTCTCAGACTGGTGCCAGCTGGATTCTCATCATAAGACGCAACAGGGGTAAAGGGCTACGTGCGTTCACTACATACCTTTCGACAGTAGCTTTAAAGAGGAGGACATATGGTTGAAGGAAAGAGGATCGCGTGTCAGGAACAAGAAAAAGATTGTCGACTTTCGACTTCCAGGCAACGGAATTGGAGAGAATTGGAGAGAAAAGCAGCTTGACTGACTCGCTGGTTGTGGCCGCAGCTGCGAAAAGGGAAAAGAAACAAACCGAAAGAGAATCCATGCCAAGCTTTTGGTTCTACTGGAACTGCTCAAACTGCTGCTCAAACTGCTCGAGGTTGCTTGCTACATAGCGAGTTGCCCACTCGGCCCGCCTTGCCCGCTCACGCTATCGAGGTCGCCGTCACCGACGATACACACCTGATCAATACTCCGGTACGCTGTGCGTTCGGCAATGTCCCATGCCCCATCCCATGTGATCAGCTCTATCAGAAACCTCAGCTCTAGACTCGCATCCTTCAAATCGCCTCCACCTCAATCCTGCATCCGTTCCTAGCGGGCATTCTCAATGTATTCAGCAGTGGGTTTCTCGTACTTCGCACAGAAGTATTTCGCACTGTTTCTCGACAGCCAGAGGGTGAACTTGCTGAGTTCGGTCTTCAAGCGAGCAACAGCCTCGGCGTCCATATTAGTTTGAGCAATCATCTCCGGCAGGTTAACAATCATGCGCGTCAGGTGTTCAGCCCCATAACAATCACCAGGACCCTTGCCCTCCCAATCCTTGTACCGACCGGACTCCCAGAGCTTCCGAACCTGTCACGATTAGTACGAGCATAGAGAAGTAGACTGTAGCACCTGGGAAATAATGTACCTCTGCTAGCTGACTTCTCTCAAAGCGGTACAATAAGATCTTACCGACCGCTTTCTCAAAGTACATCTTCAAGCCAGCACAAAACTCCTCCAGGATGTCCGCATCAGCCGAAGTAGGCAGGCGGTTCAACTTCTCTTCGTTGAAATATTCGTCGATGATGTAGTTTGCTGGAGCTTGACTCGGTAAAGGAACGAGAAGGAGCGATTTCGTGACATTCTCCCAATCGTCAACAAGGAGATTCTTCAGATGATCGGGGACGTTGATGCGGATGGATGGACGGGTGTAGAACGCGTCTTCCTGTGAAGTCATGTGAAAAGTAAGCACGTATTCCTTTTTCAGGGTGAAAATTATGGATATGAATCATGTCGTGTCGTTGCAACGGGTAAGGGGCCATCAAGTAAAAGGGGAGGATCCAATTCCAAATCCCGGGTCCTGGGAACGTTCAGGGGGTTTGCCTCAAATGCAAGGAACTGTCCCAGATTCAACCACTTCTGCGGCGAGAGCGAGAACATCAAGGCCAGTGATGGGTCGGTTAGCAGGGAGCCGGGCACGCAAGGCACCTTCCACGTTGTTAGCACTCAAGCTCGCAGACTCCTGTCGTCGATATGGAATGCTGCCATGTCGCATACAGGAATCCTCGGGCTCCGGGAATGAAAAGTCGCATTCACGGCCCTGCAATTTGCAGTTATTGCAGATCGGCTTCACCCCATCGCACGTCACACCAAGTTTGATGCACTTTTTGCACGCGTCTTTGCTGGAGTTGTCGAGGAACAACGTGTCAGTCGATCTAGTTGTTTGTGCGGCAGATTCAGAGGCATCAAAGCCGATGGAGTCAGCGGACCGGCTTGCCTGCGCGGCAGCTTCAAAGGCACGGTCGGCAGCCACGGCGGCAAGGGTACGTAGACGGTGGTCGTCAACAGGTGGTCTCTTGACTTTCGCAACGAAGGCATTTATGATATTCGCCTCGTTCTCCCGCTCGAATTGGTCCCAGAAGGGTGCGTTGTCAGGCACTTCCTTGAGAACCCAGGGGGGGCGGTTCTCAAGCACACTATATGGCATTTTGACCAGGAGTTCTTCACGTGCCCAGACGAGACATCCGTCGGGGATAGACCTGAGATTTTCCTCGGTCCACCCTGGAGGGAATTTGTCTCGATCACGGTTCAATTTTTCGATGAGGCGATAAGGGAACTTGAGAGCATCGAGTGGCGTGTTTGATCCAGGAGGATCAACCTCAAAAGGTTCTCCAGGGGCACTGGTTGCAGGGGCAGCCCCGTGATCTTCACCATCGCTATCGATGTCGGATGGGAGCTCTTCGAACTGCTTTGGCAGTTGCTGTTTTGGTCCACGGGATCCCAGCTTGTACTGCTGTCCTCTCTTGCGAGCGTCTCGGAGCTCCTCGTCGATGACGTGCTTTTCGAGGTACGGGGTTCCACCGATCAGTGCCAGCTTTGGCATCTTCGGATGTTCTCTGAGCGAACTCTGGCTGAAGAATTCCGGCTCATCCTTGGGTGCGGGCAGTGTAAGGAGGTGATCCACGTCTGCAGATGTGTAGTTCGTGGTGTCTTTGATCTTCCAAGGACGCAATGCCTGTTGAGGTTGGGGGGACGCCATGCTGGTCCTAGAATTCCGGAGCCCTCTGGAGGGTTCTGGTCCCGTGTTGGTGGGCTTTGTTGTCCTTCGGATCACGGAAGATCGTGATTCTGCAACACGGGTTTCCTTGTTCCCCTTAGGAATGGCTGTGGACATGGACTTGATCATGGACTTGGACTTGGCGGTAGAAACTGCCGCTGCAGTCCTAACGCTCCTCCTGACTGAAGTAACCTCACTTTTGTCACTTTTCTTATTGTTGTCCTCAGTGACCGCAAACTTGTCTTCCAACTCTGTGTCAAAGAGCAGTTCATCTTCTTGGACATTCACGATGTCAGAGCTGACTGAGGAAAGAGAACTAGATTCGGAGGATAGTGAGTCCCTTGATCGTTCTTTTCCCACATCAGACTTCTTTCCGACATTGATCTTTCCTCTGCCACTGACAACTTTTGTATCTTTTGTGCAGGGTGTAACAGCTTCAGGCTCTGGTGATGATTTGTCTGATAAACCGCTTGATGCACCGTCGATACTGGAACTTTCATCTTCGGACGACTCTGTATCGGACTCGCTTGACGTGGACGTATTCGCTGATGGTTGTGTCTTATTCTTTTTTGAAGCCTTCTTGGCCCCAGGTGCGGGTTTTCCAGGCATATCAAGACGTTGGTGCCGGTCTCTCGATTCCTTTTGTCGCTGTCGCAAATTTTCCATGGTTGTTGATTGGTCCAGGGTTTCACTGTCAACCAGGCAAATAGTACTGGTGATAGATTGGGCTTCAATGGGAACCTGGACATCCAAGTTTGGTGGGGGAACCTGCTCCAAGCTCGACGCATACTCCTGGGCAGGCTCGTCGTCGGGCAGTCCAGTAACCCAGGACATCATATCGATATGGGGGTATTCATTGTGACGGGAATCACGGGAAGAATTCACACGGGTACGGGTACGCTTGTGGGACGGGGAATCACCACCAACCTTTTCCAGATCATTGTCTCTTGCACGCTTGGATCCCCTACCACCGGCAGCAGGGACAGAAGATGTGCGCTCCTCGGACCCTCTGCCAGATCCAATCTCCGACCCTTGGCCTCGGCGGGTTTTGCTGGCCATCTTGGGATTGGCTTTGAGCGTAGCCTGATGGCGCAGGTTCGCTGCCAACTCTCGGTTATCTTCTGTTGGTTTTCGAAGACGATCTTGGGGAACCCAATCGTCCCAGCTAGAAGAGCACTGGTTAGCTTTTGAACAGCTGGGATAAGTGGAGAATGGACAAGGGATGGAAAGAACTTCTGGTGGTGAAGAGAGTTGTGAAGTACGACAAAGTGCACAAAGCGCACACTGGCCGTGAATGTGCCAAATTCACGGTCGGATATGTCAGCTGCCCGCACAGTTCATATTCACTTGGGTCGCTGCCCGCGCACAGAACATGACACTGTCAGAAGCAATCACACTCCATGACACAAAAAGAATGACGGTTTGACAGATCAAGGACGCGACAACAGGTAAGCAAGGATGAAATCTCAAAACTCACGTGTTCTTCCAGCCTTTGTAATGAACCTTGTAGTGAAAGGGGGATTTCGTCTCCTTGGGATCTGTTCTCTTCACGTCTGTGATTTTGGCATCATACAGCACCTCTCCGTGGAAGCAGAGCGCCTTCTCATCCTTCTGGAACAGTGGTTTATTGTCGTTGGACTGCGGAGCCATGAGAATGCTGAATCAGACGAGTCGTTGATCTCGGGATATCGAGACAAAGGGGGAGACTTTGGAGACGGAAGATATGCCTGACAGGGCACTTGACCAAGGGGAGGGAGGAGAAATTGTCAACACGAGCAGACAGTCTCTAGGGGGACAAAGAAAGAAAGAAGAAAATAAGGAGAAGCAAGAAAGAAGAGAGCAGAAGAAATTGAATACGTTATCGTGGCATCGAAAGGAGAGGCAGCGACTTGCCATATGAAGCCCAGTGACAGAGCCAAGACAAAGGTCGCGCTCATTGGCTGGCGAGAACGCGTAGTTGATCCGAGGTTTTTCCGATCCGAGAAGTCGTGAAGCTTTGTTCTGCCTTGCACGACTAAGGTACAGTATCTTTACAGGGCGAGGCTGAACAGAGATCCTTTTTGATCTTGCTCGGAGAGATTTGTGAGGCAGGACAAGGTGCAAAAGGTAAGTCTACAGATCTCCATTGGGTATCTCAAACGCGCGCATCCGAGCAGACTCTAATGTGGTACCTCGCAGCTACGCGTGTTTGCTACCAATACCACAAGATCGCATTTCAGTGATCTTACGTTCAACGATACTATCCAGTTGGCTTTGTGGCCCATGCCGACATCTCCACTGTCTTATGAACAAGACCCAAACTTCACAATTACAACAAATACGAACATCTGGAACTGAGCCTCCAAGCCTTGTCACCTAGTCTGCTGCCTCTTCGCTCGACGAATTATCCGGATCTCAAGCAACTGCTGTAGAGGATCAGGAGTCGGTATCGCACTCACGGGTCATTACTTACAAAGCCCGTCTAGCAAGACGAATCAGAACCCATCATCACTCACAACAAGGCTAGCGTTTCAGGGGGGGACCAGAGTCAGACTTCGTCAGCAGGTACAAATTCGACAGCCGGTCTGTGTTCTCGGCGCATCAGCAAACAAGCAAATTTAATACTCTTTGATTCGTTCTACTTGAAGGTGGACAGTTTGCGCATAACTGGGTGGTCAGTGTTCCGAGGCCACGAAGCTCAGGGTTCAGCACATCGCAACAGACGACATCGATATCCTCAATAGGTTATGGGGACGTCGACTTCTGGAAAGCTCCACCTCATTTAGTCCGAACCAGAACCTACTTCTTTCCTTCCGTGAAGCAGAAGCAGGGCAGAAGGGCATTCGGTCAACAGACTCAGCACCCTTGAGATACGCAACCACCATCCCTAACCCGAGGTATCCAGCGTCATGGCGTCCCATACACCCTCGGAATCTGAGATTCTCACATCATACCTCCTTCACCCATCCCCTCTCTCCACGATCTTGCCGTACAAGTCCTTCCTAGCACTCCTTCCCCCCAGTGCAGCGTCCTTCGCACGCCAACACCCGACCGAGCTGAAGCGTCTGTACCGGGATCTGCAATTCCAGAGGGCCATCGTCATTGACGAGGTGCGACAACGCATCGAAAATGAGTGTCACCGCAGCGTCGCACTTACGGCGATGTTGGGGCGGCAAATCCGCCGGGAGGAGGGGACGAAGAAGCCGTCCAGGAAGAGGAAGAGGGCGGACAGTCGCCTGGAAGACGGTGATGGCGAGAACCCCCCTCAGGCAGCAGACGACGATAGTTCCGACGACGGCGCCGGGGAACAGGAAACGCGGTTCGACACGGCACTCCACAGCGGGCAGGCCCTGGGGAATACCCTGCCCACGGCGAGCGTCAAGCACAACCACACCACGACGACGCTCCTCCCCGCAATGACCACCGCCAGAAGGGAGCTGTCTTGCGAGATCGCAGATCTAAAGGACGAGATCGAGACACTGCGCGCGCAGAGCAAGGACGTGGTCGGCAGCCTGAGTGACCTGCGATACGGACGCTTCGCCCCTGTGACCGGAAGAGCCAGCGGAGACAAGAAGAGCGGCACCAACGCCATCACCACCACCAGCGCAAACACAGAGGATGAGATGAACAACGAGCTCGAAGCAGTTGTTATAGATACATTGAAGGGGTTTGTAGACCTCATGGAGGGCGCTCTGTCGGATGGGGTATTCAACCCTGAATACGAACAGGCCAGGAATGAATTGGAAGAGGTCAGCGATTGACCAGGAGGGAGGGACTGTTGGGTGTCTACATCACAGCATAGGAGCAGAGCGGTTGGCAAACTGCAAAGGAAAGCCCACATCTTGAGACTGGCCTAACATCCTACCAGTAGGTAACCCAGGTGTGTTCTTGATATTAATAAGATACCGGTCTTCTGCGTTCGCTAGCGAGGGTTCTCTCTCTCTTTCAGGCCCGACACAACCGTGAAAGCAACTAGGCGAGGAACAAACGAGTGCATATTGAGTGTCGATTTATTCATTTCGTAGATAACGCGCTGCATGGTAGGTGGAAACATATACCCTAAAACCAAATCCATTCCATGTTTGTCAATCGATTTCCACTCAGCAGCTCCGTTATGTCGTTGTCAGGCCCTGGTCCCATTCTGCCGCATGAACTTGACATCTCACACATCTGCGTGGTCTGCCACGTCCTACTTGTGCGCTGCAATAACCTTCTCCATCTCTTCCTTGCTGCCCATGAAAATCCCACTTCGGTCGTGGATACCTTCGGGTTTCACCTCCAGCATCCTGTCCATGTTGCTGTTTACTGCCATGCCACCTGCATTCTCCATGACTAGTGCCATAGGAGCACACTCGTATAGAATCCTTAGCTTGCCCTTGGGGGACTTCTTATCTGCTGGATATGCGAAGATACCTCCATACAGCAAAGTGCGATATGCATCGGCGACCATGGATCCAATGTAACGAGAGCTGTAGGGTTTGCCACCCTTTTCGGTGGGGTATTTGAGCGATTCGAAGTACGCCTTGGTTTTGTCGCCCCAGTAAAGGGAGTTGCCTTCGTTCACAGAGTAGATGGCTCGCTTCTTGGGAATGCGCATATTGGGGTGTGTGAGGATGAATTCTCCCAGGGCGTTGTCCTAAACATCGATCATGTCAATAAGGGATGGGTTGATTAACTGCATGAAGCAACGAAATAAGCTTCCTTACCAGGGTGAATCCGTTGACCGAGCCGCCTTTCATAGTGATGACGAGTTGCGCAGAGGCGCCGTACATGGTGAACCTGCTTCCGTCAGATTTGTCCCATTCCTCAACATCGCCGCAGTTCCATTTCCGACTTACCCAGCAGCAAGCAATTCAGTACCCGGCATGAGGAGATCCTCTGGGGCGGGTTTTTTGCCAACAACACTGTCTGGCAGCTTCATGATCCCAAAAATGGTTCCTACACTGACACCTGCATCCAAATTGCTCGATCCGTCGATGGGGTCACATGCCACAACATATCTGGCATCCTTGCTGTCATCAAAGTATATCACATCCTCCTCCTCTTCCGAGACCAGCGCCCTGACCTTTCCAGAACCTCGCATGGCAGCCACAAAGAGGTCATTGCCAATCACGTCGAGCTTTTTCTGATCATCGCCTGTCGTATTGGAAGAACCAGCAAGGCCGGTGAGATTGATCAACGTGGCACGTCGGATATAATAGGCAATTGACTTGAAGGAGAACTGAAGGGCATGGCAAAGCAATCTGCAAGCACAAGCAATGTCAGCCCTGTAATACTATGTAGGAGAGGGATCGAAACTGACGTAAAGTCGCCGGTGGCCTCCTTGTGTTTTGTCTGTTCTTCCGTCAGGAATCTGGTGAGAGTGATGATGTCTGTGTTGATTTTCTCCTCGCCAGTACCGGTCGACTGGCCATTGCTATCTCCATTGGTAGCCATGTTGCAGCCTTTTTCTTTACAATTTCTGGGTATGGAGAAGGTGTCTTCAAATCTGAGCAGTGGAAGGCTGTGTAGGGCACGCGATGGGTATATTGGCCCTCGGTAGAATGGAAGACAGACGTCAAGAACACGGACAATGAAAACCGGGGATGCAGAAACCTAAAACTGGCGACGAGAAGAGACCAGAGGGAACCAGATATTAAAGAGAAAAGACAGAGGCTAGATATCGCAGGACAAGCCAGTGGTTTTAAGGAGGAGCTGCTGTCAATTCCGGAAGCCCCATATCGGGTGGTTTGAAGTGGTGGCAGCAGGGCAAAGCATTGTCAACATGATTGTTTGGCTCTGGTGGCCCGCTATGCGGGAGATGATGACAGTGGGCATTGGGCAAAGGAGGCTTCTCCGCATCAAACAAGCGATCCGAGTCAATTCCCTTACAAATGGGAGACGTTGGAAAATGCAGTAAGGAATGTGGTTGAATGGGTGGAGGGATGGAGGGGCAAAACTGCGCTTTGCGTTGGAAACTGACGGCAGCCGAGGGATCTTCGTCCCGACTTCTTCCGGCGGGCCGCTGGTCGCTGGAGGCACGTGATATCACATAGAGGGGCGAGGCTGCGTTGGCATCACGGTGCACACTGAAGACATTGGGAATTCTCTTTTCTCATGATGCGGTTCACGCCGTGTCTAAAGTTCTTCCCAATATTAAGTGGCTATGTCATTCCAAGAAGGTTGCAGACTTTTCCAATCGTCCTAATCCGCTCGGGGTCTCGGGAAACATCACCCCGAGCAACCGCCGTCGGGCAGTTTCGGAAAGAGGCGACAGCAAGGTCTCTCATCCAGTTCAGCCCCAACCCCATCTACTCCCTGCCCAGCAAATCGACACATTTCATGCTTGCCCCAGGCTTTCTCCGGATAATCGTTCGGCAGCGACAACACATCTGGCCCCAGAAAGGAATCCAGGTCTCGTAATTCTTATTCAGCCAACCCCTCATTAGTACAATTGTCAAAGACATGAATGATTTCATGCGTCATGCCTCGTTCAGCTTCTCTGCTCGATGGTAGAACGGTGGCAACGGCTCGAGTTTCTGTCTCAAAACCCAGACGCGGAAATGCCAGGTAGCGTTCTTCAACTGATAACTCATATGCTTACGAGTGCTGACACTGAACACTTGATCTAGTTCTTCGAGTGTAAGAGCCTGGAGAACGAGTCAGCATGACGTACGATGTCAGTGTATATTCAGCCAAACATACTTTGGTTTCGGGAACAAATAGGAGTATCAAGAACCACAAAATGATACACCATGCGCCATACCACGCGAATGCGCCTTGAGGCTTGAAAGCCGTCAACAGATGAGGCCAGGAGAAGCTGAGAATGAAGTTGAAGCACCATGTGGTGGCCGTCGCGAAACTCATTCCCACATCTCGAACGTGCACAGGAAATGCCTCTGCCGAGTAGGTAAATGGTACAGGGCCTTCCCCAGGCGAGTAGAAGACCTGCGAAATACCTGTCAGAATCTATTGCCCTCCTAGAAAACCACTTCACTCACCTCAAACAAGTACATCCCTGTCGTCACCATAGCCACCTTGGTTTTCTTGTCGTCAAACCAAAAGCTGAAGCCCGTCCAGAGTAAGAAGATCGCCAAAAAGGGGAACGTGAAGAGTAGCAAGTTGCGGCGTCCCCATCGATCAATGGTAAACACGGCAGGCAGCGCAAAGACCCAATTCAGGATACCCGTTCCCATTGATGCTAACAGAGCGGCTGAAACGGAATATGAGCTGGACAAAAAAATCGTTGTCGAGTAGTACGCGATCACGTTAACTCCGCAAAATTGCTTGGGTTTGCGTAAGCGACAAGATGGTCATGATATCTCAAGGGACAAGACCGTCTTACCTGGCCGAACATGACGATCCACGATGCCCAGGTTGCTCGTCGGTTGCGCGGAACGGTGAAAAGCTCGATGAACTGAGTGAACAAGTTCTTGCCCTTGTGAGCCTGTCGTTCAAGCTCCACGCCAACGTAAGTGTAATAAGTATCCCGTGCGGCTTGGAGGTCCGTGAACCTCAAGCGTCGGAAGGATCGGAATGCCTTGTCAGGTCGGTTGTGCTGGATGTACCATCTATGCAACGGAAAAAGATGTTAAGAAAGGCCTCTTGTCACTGGGGAATTGGTTCCTCGTCCATACCTGGGACTTTCTGGGCAGTAGTAGACTTGGGCGCACACAATCAGAGGAAGGACAACAGTGCTGCCGAGCATCAATCTCCAGCCAAGGTCTGGGGCGAGCCCGCCAAAAGCCACGCCCATGATGTTTCCAAGCATGATGCCTAGGAGATCGTCAGAGAGCTGATTCTTACACGTTTTTGCGAGAGGCTTACCGAAAGCAGTCCACATTTGCCACATCATAACCAAGGCGCCACGGATCGGGGCTGGGGCACACTCGGCAGAGTAGACTGGCACTGTGGAAGATTTGGGACCAATTCCAAGGCCTAGAAGAAGACTTAGCAGAATTCAAGGGGTAATGCGTCAGCCGACCAACTTGAACGGGGTCGACATACCCAAAACAAATCGTGCCAAAAACAGATTTACCCATGAATTAGCAACCCCTTCCCAAACCGAGGCCACGGCAGCAATGAAACAAGAAATGAAGATTGTGCCTCGACGGGCAAAGATCCTGTTACACGGCTCTGTGAGCCAGCAACCGAGAACTGCACAGCATACTGGAAAATCTGTTAGCTTCTGGCATATCAACCTCTTTCATGTCGCAAGAGTTCTTCTTCGGTGTTTTTGTGATGGGGAGCAGGGTACTTACGATACGGTGCACCAACAACCAGTCCGGTCAAGTTATCAACCATACCTTGGCTGAACCGCTTGGTGGTGATGTTGAGTTGTTTGAGATAAAGAGCTTGGGCACCGTTGTTTACTGTCTCGTCCATGCCCTGCACAGCAGCTGCTAGCGAACACATGACAACCAGCCAATAGAGGGTAAATGGCTGAGACCAGCGATGCGTGTGCTCTCGCTGAAGCACTTCTCGGTCTTCAGACGACAACTCGGCGATATTGTCAATGGCGTTTGGAGATTGGGCCACCAAAGCGCCTTTGCGAAATGAATCGATATACTCCATTAGATTATTATCTCGGCAGAAGAGCTCGACATCCTCTAGGAGTTTCTCCTTGGGGGTGTTAGAGAGCGGATTCTCAAATGCGGCGCTCAGTTTGCTCATGTCGACGTCCGCGAAGGACCTCTTGCGGGGAGGGGCATTCTCGATGTTAGTGGCAGTACGCTCACTGTCACCAGATCGCCTGTCATAGGGAACTTTTTCTGGTTCAGCCATGTTGACCTAATGTGAGTAATGAAAGTCCAGGCTTCTGGCAAAAAACCGGTTCAGGAAAGGGGACTACAAGTAGGTACCACCTATAGTGCCTAGGAGAAAAAATAAGCAGTCTCGGCCAGACATGTCAAGAGAAGTCAAGACATTCTTGTATATCTTGTCACAGGCCGCATCTTCAGGCACGCCCTAGTCCTTGCTGAACTATTGACGGTAAAGCGGTATGGGTATCACCATGATCAACAGGCGACGTCATCGTGTACGTTAGGCCACAGATAGACCAATACTTATATGAAACACCCACTTGGAGTCCGGTTTGAGGCAGCAACTGAGTCGTGGAGCTGTCCAATGCCGTCCCAACCGATAGACAGAACATATCAGGGCCCCTTGACCTGGTCGACACCGAGGTTGTGACTAGTCGCTTGCATGCTAAGACGTCAGAACGGCAAGCCGATCATCCGTGCTAACTCGGAGTTTTTTTCAGGATGCAACGTGGGTGATATGGATAATGTGACGTTGATCGAGATCCGAGTTCTCTATCAAGACGAAGTAGAAGTGGAAAAAGAGGCTTCGACGCCGATCTTGGCGATCATGGGCTTGGCAGCCTTCCTCGACTTCAACTGGGGCTCCGCTCTCCTCTCCCCATCTACCACCCACTGCCACCAAGAGCCCTCTCGCTCGTTGACAGATGGTACAGCTGTTGTTGAAGAAACCCACATTCTCCAAAAAGCCTCCGTAGCACAGACCCCATGTGGAACCCTGTCGTTCACGAGAGATTGGTAAGCCTTACAAGCTAGGCGATGTAGAGTAAGAGGGATCAAACACTTCTGGAGTACAACACGGAAAAAAGGCCCAGTCCATTGTATATACATCGTGTCCCTGTTCATTCCTTCATTATTCATAGCTGTTCGAACTTTGTTCCGCTCAATTGTAGTCATCTCAAATGTCATTGCCGACGGTTTTCCCATGAACAAGATCTCTCTCATACTACTCGGTCGCCTGTATAGATTCATCCCATCCACCAACACTTTCCAAAAACATTTTGACCTGTCCTTTCTTGCCTTGTAGGGCACTTCCTAGTGCTTCGAGCCATTGCTCCTCAATCATTGCCACTTGCTGCTTCAATTCTGCCGTGGCCGTCTTCTCTTGCTCATCTCGAATCTTCTGGGGATCTTCTCCGGGTTCGGGTCCATCCAACTCGGCACGTGCTCGCCTGGCTTCAGCAGCTCGACATGTTGCTGCTATCAGGCCCACCTTGACTTCGTGGAGCAGACAGTGGAGATTGCTTTGAGATTCTATAAATTGATATGTCGATCTCTCTGCGTGATCAAGCAATGTGAAAAGGTATTGTTGTGGAAACCGGCGGTATTCGGGGTTCTCGGTGTATTCAGCATCAGGGATTGCAAGGGCACCGGGTCGATCCAAGTCATCGGGAATCTTGTGGATCAGGTCCAGCAGCCCCGGCGCGATGTCCCAGAATGCAGACGATTGAAGTTGGACTTCGTCTCGAACATGTTCTGCAACAAGGTCGACAAAGCTCTGGTATCGTACTAGTGCTTCTTCATAAAAGGTTTTATGTCGCTCAGCACTGTCGCGCTTGAAGAAATCTTCCGTATCTCGAATCTTTTCGTAATTGCTGACCTGATGATAAGGCAGAAGCACAATGGCTTTGTACTTGTCGTTCCGGGCGGTGAGGAGGTCGAACAGTTCTTTATGGACGGTTTCGCGCGTCTCAAATAACCACTTCAACTGTGTTAAATATTCCAAAATTTCGGGCATGGCATCCCCCTCTTGTTGTGGTCGATCCAGGTCCGAGGCCTGCATGTCTGCGGCCAATTGCTCGGTCAGTGCAGTCATGTGGGCACTGAGCTGTGTTGCACGATCGTGGAGCATTTCGTGCATTGGGTTGATCACCACGTCCTGCAACGTGTCGAACTCTGCTTGGAGGCACCCTTTCTCCGACAGGTTCTCCTCCATTTTGAGGGCTTGCTCGGCTTCGGCGGCTTCGGCATACGTGATACTTCCCTCGTTAATCTGCGCCGAGATATTTGTCCGAAAGTTTTTCTGTCCTTCGGCGATCTTGCGCTTGTGTTCTGCCCTCAAAGCCTCTACGCTTAGGTTATGTCGAGATCTTCTATTCTGTAACTCACTCAAGTCGCTGAGTGTCCGCACGATCCTGCGATAGGTGGCCAGCTTTGGATGACTATTGTTGACAGCAGGGTAGTGCCGTGGGTATGGTGGAGGCAGGGTAACGAATCGTGAAATATCGAGCCCCTCTGGAGGAAATGGAATTGTTGGAGCCATTGCCTGGAGCGGTAGACCTTCGGGATCCTCGTAAACGCCAAATGCCTCCGGACGGGTCTTCTCATCAGGATAGCCCTCTGTCGAGCCTTGTACGTCACTGATATTGGTGGGTGTAGCGGCTTCAGACAAGACTTCCTGCATTGACAGGGCCGAGAGACCCATGTACTTGGATTCTCGTTTGGATCTTTTCATCTTACCTGTTACGCCGTCAGTTTCCGAGCCAGTTTGTGACTGCCACCATCGGCTGGCAGTTCGACCACGGGAACTGAGTTCGTCATTGCTCATACTGGCAATCGGTGAGAGTTCCGGGCGGTACTCTTTCGACCACATTTCCGCACGCTGGGTTGGATCGGCCCGAATCCCGTGCATAGGTGATCGCATTCTGCCTGGCGTGGCAGCACATGTGTCAGTAGTACCGTTCGTCCCAAGCTCACTAAAAAGCCGCTGCTTGGCTTCCTCCGGGTTGAAGGTCCCATCTGCAAACGGAGTTGGACAGCGCTGCCGCCGGATCATTGACTCCTCGACGATGTATTCCATGAAGAGTTGCAATTTCTCAAGCTCAGAGTTTGCTTGGCTCTCCTTTACGAGGAAATGTTGATGTCGCCGCGAAGCTTCTTGCATAAAGAGATCGTATTCGACTTGGGCGAGTTCGGACACTGAAGACGCTGTCGAAGGAAGAACGCTGTGCGCAGAAGTGGGGTTCTTTTGACTCAGTGGTGGTGTAGGCAACGACTTTGGCAGGACAAGTGGCGTTCGTGTTCGGCTACTCCTCCTCGACAGGGCTGGAGGAAACGGGGAATCAAGGGGTTGGTATTCAGCATCGCCGCCTCGGAGCCGACTCCTGGTCCTGCTACTGGTCCGCAAACCTCTTCGGGCAGTTTCCGGGGAGTCTTGTTCCAAGGCCAATGTGCCCAATGTTGGTGAGTGTTCAGGACTGATACCAGTTGGACTCAAACTGCTGAACCAAGGGTCAGTGTCTATGGTCAAGGCACTGAAATCGGACAATTGACCCTCGTGAAGACTTCGACGTTGCTTCCGACGTTCCAGCAGACCCTTAGCAGAAGAAACACGGAGAGCAGCACTCCTGGTCAAACCTGTGGGTGCAAAGTCCTCACGATCGAGGTTTGTCGTCTCAATATGTAGCGGCATCGGCGTTCTGGAGCTGGATCGATGAGAAGATTCATCCCTCCAATTTGCAGGTGTAGGAGGCATAGGACTAAGCAGAGGCGCGTGTAATGGGGCGCGATGACCTGATCGACTGTTGACTCCAGTGGCCTGTGGTTGAGCAAGAGTTCGACCCGATCCTGCACTGTGTGATCTTGAGGCTGAAGGTGGTGGCCCCGGAGGCGGACCAGGTAATGGCATCCCCGGAACCCAGCTTCTCTGCTTGGAAGATGATCTCGATGAAGACCCCTCTTGATTCTGAACTGACGACGGTTGGGAAGAACAGGCATCTGCGGATGCGGCTCTTCTCGATGCTGGCGCAGCCGGGACTTGTCCAAGATTGCCATCAAGTGGTGGATATAGAGGTAGCTTTTGTTGTGCGGCCACGGTATTTATTGATAAAGTGGTCCCCGTAGGATGTCTTGACACACCCACAGTGGAGTTTGGCCGTGATCCAAGCTGCTGCGAGGGAATACTCACGCGGCTCTGGTGGTGGTCGAAACCAGCAGATCGCCCTGGCGGACTGAAATACTTCAATCCACTTGTATCGCTAACGGTCTGGCAACTATCACCGAGAGAATGAGAGCCTTGATTAAGTGGCGACAACACTCCGGCAGTGCTAGTCGGGGTGTTTATCTGGGACTGATTTCCAGGAGCTGTAAACGTCGAGTCTGCAGGTGATATGGTTGACCCAGCACTGGTGGCTTCACGGACAGCAACACCTATCGCGGCAGCGGTAGCGGCAGTCGAATATGGCGGAGGTGGATTGGTATGCCCTTCTGTAGGTACACAGGGTTAGACACTTCTCTTTGCCCACGAAACATTGATATACCTTCTGCTTGTGAGCCTGGATTTCGACTGTCTGACCCGAACGATGTTCGTCGACTCCCCCCCACCCACTCTCTAGGGTCATAGGGCACATTGTAGTTTGCCGGCATTCTTGCAGCCATCGGTATAGCACTTTGCGGACTTGGGATAGGCGAATGTGTATAAGTCGAAGAGAAGGGTCCGTAAAGCAACGGTGCGGAGAGGGGCCCTGGCGATGGCAGACCGCGCGCAGAAACAATGTTGATGTTCAATGGCGGTGGGAGGGGGACATGGCTGAGACGAACTGGAGAGGCCGTGGGCTGGCCATCTCTCAACGGCGGCGGTGGTGGGAGAGGAATAATGACAGTAGGAGTTCTTGGGGATTGTTGATATTGAGCCTGGGCATGTTCAGCCGCAGGCAATGATCGGCTTTTGAGATGTTGTTAGCCTGTCCGCCTCAGAGCTCTAGACTGTGACATAGAACCACTGCTTTGGAGGCACACATACAAGGACATATTGTGAAGAAACAGTCTCGCCCAACCGCCAAATTGAGATTGGTGGGTTAAGCGCCCACACGGTTCATGTCACATTTGCGCATATTCGTCGTAGGCCTCGCATCCAACTGACATCAGCGGACGACGGGTCTTTCCATTCACCGACTCGACATCACATCAAACTCCTCCGTCGATGAAAATGGAAAAATATAAATGAGCACGGAAACAATGAGATAT